TTCGAGCATAGTTTGAATTTTGAATCAAGTTTTCGGGGCTGTTAATCGGATAACATTAGTTGATTCAAGAACAATTTTGTAAATATATATTTTTTTACTCCTAACAAAATTCAACTTGCATATAGTACTCCCCCAAAGGCCAAAGGTAATGGAAGAAACACAGAGTTTCATATGTTGCTGGCCAGACCGTGTGGCCGGATTTATTTGATTAGGGGTTATTCAGTCGTTCAGAGGTTACTTGATTAGGGATTACTAGATCAAGGGTCACTCGATTGGTCAGAGGTTATTAACTCAAGCGTTACTTGATCAATGTTTTGGTGTATCAGTCAGCCACATAAAAAAACACATCTATTAACTATTACTAAAACAAAACATTGCTGACATCATCTCTCCTCAAAACTGTATACGTGTCGCTTTCTTATGAAACTTTTTCCCGCCTAAAACCATTGATAATGTCATTTTTTTGTGATAGGTTTTTTTTTTTTGTTGTTGTTGTGTGTGATACTTCGTAAACAAGCTAATTAAGTTCTTTCAACAACTTTAATCTAGAAAACCGAAGTACAGTAAATTGAATAGCATTTGTATTCCTTTCTTTTGATTTAAAGATCTATCATTCACTCTCTTCAGTTCATTAACACTAATATTCAAACGTCTAGAAATTTCCTGAAATATTCAAACTTTATTTCTTTTAAGAAATCTCGTTTCAATGTATTTATGACAAAATTGAAAAGATTCATTGTATATTCGAATTCTACACTATAATTTTTTTTATTAAAACCGTGCATCATACGGGGTTAATCTTTTTTTTTTTTTTTTTTTTTTTTTTTATAGTTATTGAAGAAAATATAAATATATAAAATTGGACTAAAAGAGAAACCTCAAGACCGCGTGATGCGGTTATATAGCTGGCACCCTGTTCACTTTCTTCCTCCAATTTCTCCGAATCCAAAGACTCCAATTTTTTCAAATTTCAAAATCCCTAAAAATTACACCCAAAATCAAAACGCAAATCTCAGGAAAAAAAAAAAAAAAAAAGCTTCAAACTCCAACAATGGCGGCATCAACAGCAAGAGATGAGAACGTATACATGGCGAAACTCGCCGAACAAGCCGAACGTTACGAAGAAATGGTAGAATTCATGGAGAAAGTCGTCTCAGCCGCTTGCGAAGGCGAAGAACTCACCGTCGAAGAGCGTAACCTTCTCTCCGTCGCCTACAAAAACGTCATTGGTGCTCGTCGTGCTTCATGGCGGATCGTTTCATCGATCGAACAAAAGGAAGAAAGTCGTGGAAATGAAGATCATGTTTCCACCATTAGAGGTTACAGATCTATGATTGAATCTGAACTTTCTAACATTTGTGATGGTATTTTGAAGCTTCTGGAATCCAAGCTTATCCCTGTTGCTACTAATGCCGATTCTAAGGTGTTTTATCTCAAGATGAAAGGTGATTATTATCGTTATTTGGCTGAGTTTAAGACTGGATCTGAAAGGAAAGAGGCTGCTGAGAATACTCTCTCTGCTTACAAAGCTGCTCAGGTACTTTGTTTTTTGATTTTTTTTTTTTTTTTTTTGATTTTGTGATTTGATTGATTTGGATTTTGATTTGGATTCATGTTTTGGTGGAATTGGTTGAAATTAGCATCGGATTAATGTTTTTTGTTTAGATTTTTGGTAATTTCATCGGCATTGTGTTAATCGTGGTTTATATCGTTAATGTTGGGCGATCTAATTGTTAATTTGAATTAATTTTGCATAATGTGTGATTAATTGATTCATATTTTGATTGTTTGTCTGAAAACTTGTTTGATATGACACTGTTGATTGGTATGACGAAACGTTGAAGGAGATCATCAAAATTATTGATGTGAAAGTGATTGGAAATCTTTGTTTTATGTTGTTATATGGGGACTTTTGGTGATAGTGACATTGATATTTGTGTTGGAATTTTGTCAATTTGTTCTATCTTAAGATGCTAATTGCGTTAAACTTTACATATTGATGTTGATCTTATTTTTCTTTCATAATCGAATTTGTTGCTGCATAAAGGTGTAACCAAAGGGAAATAGGAATTCGAAAAGAAATGTTTGTCATTAGAGAAGCAATTAGTACTGAATAATGTAAAAAATGTATTACTAGTATTGATCTTAGGGTTGGCATTCCATGGCAAATGAGAAGAATATCTGAATTTCTTTAGAGGGAAAATGTGATGAAAGCGATATTATAATGTGTTATCAACTAGTGATAATATAAGATGATTTTCAATTTGATGGGATAATGGATCATTTTCCCAGGCTCAGTGATCGCTATATTTTGTTCTTTGTTTGACGTGTTTCTGTTATTGGTTGTGGTTGCTATTTTGAAGATGTTGTCTTTTGTACTTTGAACGAATTCTTTTGTTGAATGTTCTGTTTGGTCAATTGTTATGAGTTTGATCGTTGATTGTTATGGATCGAGTGTATGTGGCGTTGTTAGCCAACTTATGACTAATGCCTGTCTTTTTCATTTAGCAGGATATTGCGAATGCTGACTTGCCTCCAACACATCCTATCCGTCTTGGTCTTGCACTTAACTTCTCAGTTTTCTACTATGAGATTCTCAACTCTCCTGATCGTGCCTGCAACCTAGCTAAACAGGTAAGAATTATAACTAGGGAAGAGATACCCCTTTTTCATATCAAGACCAGAAAGAGATTCTCTTTTCTCACTTGATTTGCAGTTTTGTTTTTCATCTTCTTTTCAATTCAGCATGTCACAAGGTTTGTATTACATAAAGGGACCTTCCTGTATCCAACTAGCAAGCCTAACGTTCATTTCTCGTGTTAGATGATCATCTCTGAAAATCATTTACCCTGATTAACCATTTACCATGGAACTGATTAACTATTTACTTACAATGCTTTGTCTTGAAATGTTGGACTATCCTCAAGTACATTAGTTAGCTACATTATGCATTAATCAACTGGGGGTAGTATTTTTCACTACAGATGTTTTTGTATGATAGAATAGTATACTGTTTTTGACTTTGTACATGCTGTTAACCAATTATCAGCAGTATATTTGTGGCTTTATTCAAAAATAATTCTGCAAGATCTATGCTGACATGCTACATACTATGAGCTCTATTTTTCATTTAACAATGTCATTTCTTTCTCAAGGCCTTTGATGAAGCAATTGCTGAGTTGGACACCCTTGGGGAAGATTCCTACAAAGACAGCACTCTGATTATGCAGCTTCTCCGGGATAACCTGACTTTGTGGACCTCCGACATGCAGGTAGGGATAATTAACTCATTATTCGAATCTGCATTATACTATGTCTATGTTGCCACATCGTTCCTTAATGGGGTCTGTATTTTCTATTGCAGGAGGATGGAGCTGACGAGATCAAAGAGGCATCCAACAAGCAGGATGAAGAGAAGTGAAAGCTCATTGTTTAGAATTAGGATTTGCCTTTTGATTTGCGATGGTTTAATTTTTGAATTGAGGGTGCTGCTGAATATTTGACAGTTCCTAGCTGTTATCTTGATTCTTATTTCTAAATTATATCAAACAATATCGTATTTTTAATCTCTATCTCAATTGGCGGCCTGCCTTCCTCTATCTCTTTTTTGAATTCGTGATGCGACTGGGAATTCGCCTCTTGGGGTGTGCATTAGTGCATAGATGGGTTCTGATTGAAACTTTGAACAAAGCATGAAAGTACAAGCCAAGTTGCATGAAATTTAATGGCTACAGATCAATTTGTTTCTGTGGGTTGATTCTGATTAGCTGTCTTATGCCAACGTCAATTCTGTTTAGTTGTTTTTTGGTGTTACATGTTTACTTTACGGGATCATTTTTGCTTTGTGAAGTTGTGATCTTCTTTTGCTAATAATAACTCATACTAGTCATAGGAAATTAGGAATTTAGGAGTACTTAATGCCCAAATTAAGTCCTGTACTGTTCCCATTATTTCTACTTATTCAAGAAAATTACGTTATGATTAGGAAAAAGAGTTGTCCAAGTAATAAGTTATAATATGAGCTACTTAAGTTCTGATAATGAAAATTATGTGAATATAATGCACCCATTAGTCATAAGATTAATGTTGATTGACTAGATTATGATACGGAGTATAAAATTTACATATGCATATCTTACTTGATAAAATGTTCTAATTCTTTGAAGTACTAAATTCCAGAAGAATAAAAAATGAGAAGTACAAAGCAGCTGAAGCCTGAAAGTAAAAAGTGTCAGTTTCATAGCCAACCTTTAAATGACAGAGACACATAGTTTTAGTATTTTCAGGCCATGTTTGGATTGAAGGTAAAGAGGGATGAGGACTTGAAAGATGGGTTTGAGGTATCGATTACTAAGAATATATAGAACTCTCCCTAATTCTAGATGCATAAATATAATTAACATACATAAACCTGTTACACAACCCAAGTATAAAAAATAAAAATTTCTCAAATTTGTGCCTTTTTTTTTTTTTTTTTTTTTTTTTACTTATTCCAACTTTTGATGATCGTACTTAACTCTTAAGTCTGTATTCATTTTCCATCAGCCAGTATCAACATTATGAGAAGTCATAATTAGCCATTAGAGCTATGTATATCATTTTCCATAAACTAATATTGGTTGACGAGATGGATAAGAGTTCAAAAAATGCAGATTCTCCTCAATGACAAAATGTCCTTATTCTTTAGCTATCTTTTGAAATACTTTTTGAACTCTTTTTATATTGACTTAAAATTCTTTTTTCCTGTCATATTTACGAGATTCGTAGTAGTTAATAAAGCTGAAAGGTTCACTACATCATGTATTCATGTCAGTTATCTGATTATGTATATTTACTTAAATTTTTAGTGCTAAACACAGAAGTGAATGCTTAGAATCGTGTCCGCTTTAATGGTTGTTTTCTTAGCGCAGGCATATCTTAGAGTTTCTGACTGAAATTACTGGTACGTAGTAAGGTACTCTTTCGTTTTGGTTACCAGACGGACGGTGTTTCTTTTAAGTCAGGTGCTCGAATTTCTTAAGTCAATGTGTATGATAGAGGTCTGCTGCAGCTCTTTGGTTATCTTAACTTTCAGACTCTAATATGAACTGGACATCAACTATTAAATTTAATAAAATGGCTCCTTTGCTATTAGGGTGGAAAAAGTATAAAGTACAAAGCTTATTTCTCTGTTTACATACTCTATTTATTGATATTTCAAATCTAAAAAAAAAAAAGAAAAAGACTAGAAATGACCCAATTCAATTCGAAAGATTCATCATCCGATACAGACAACCCATTTCCCACCCGATGCATGAGGATGCCACTTTGTAGGATGATGGTTTTTACACTGCTGTACTGGTAAGGCTTGCAATATCGTGGGTGTCTAACAAACTGGAAGCAACCTGAGTGAGCACGTCCACAGCGCGTAGGAATTTCTAATGAGCTCTACCAATCACAAATGTGCAAAAACTTGATATAAGTTCATTTGCGAATTATCAAAAGTAGTCTATAAATTTAAAATAGTGCTGCCTTTTGGGACGGCTTGGTATCAAGTTGCAGCTTGAATGGGTGCAGAATCCTAACAGTTGTTATAAGTTGATAGAAACTTACACTGACCATAAGTTAAATTAACTCCTTATCCTGCAAGTATTTGCATGGAGTATTACAGGTTATTGAATGGTATATTCTTCTAAAATCTACAGTATGTGCTATTTTTTCCTCCAATCACCCCCAATACTGGGGGGTCCTGAAAATGAGAGATCTAACACAAAAACAGACACTAAGACTACTGGCAAAAATATGGATGTTTGAAACAGAAATAAGGATTCAGCTAACTAGCTAAGCTGCTATCTCCTTTGGCGAGTGTGCTACATCTTTAGGTGGGTGAGGTAAGTCCTTTGGAGGATGAGAATTTTTCCTCCGCAAGAGGTCACCAAACCTCCTTAGCAGTGCTTTCCTCTTCCCTTGTGACGCCCTATCCATCTCCATATCATCAAATTGGGCATCCTCGTCAAAGTTATCAAAAACCAAATTTTCTTCACTACTGCAAGATGATGTTGTTTGCCGGTGGTAGTCCTTCACTGGGGATCCTACCAGGTCGAATATAGAACCCCCAAGGGCATCATCCTCATCTGGGTCCTCATCAATGTCCTTGCTTGACTTGCATGCCATACCAGGAATCGAAGGCCAGAACTGGTTGAGATCAAAACTGAATGTGCTACTCAATCTTCTGCATTCTTTTGCATCCTTCTCTGTGTTCTCTGCTGCAGTTTCTTTCTTTGCCACTTTTTTCTGCTCTTTGTTCTCCTTTTCCTTTTTCTGATCTTTGTTCTCTTTCTCCTTCTTCTGCTCTTTGTTCTCCTTCTCGAGTTTTGCAACTTCTTTTTTAGATCCTGAAGTAATTATCCGTTTCAATTCTTTAATAGTGTCATTTGACTCGGCCTCATTGATTCGAAGGCGCTCAGTTTCCTGAGCAAGGGTAATAAGGGCTTTATCCTTCTCAACAAGGGCATCCTTGAGGTAAGAGTTCTCAGCTCTAGCAAGACTAGAAACCTCTTTAGCCACATTAGCTTCACTCAGAGCTTGCTTAAGTATATCTCTCAAATTCTTATTCTCTTCCTTTGATTTTTCATTCATCCCTTCAGCCTCACTAAGCAACTTAGTCAGTTTATTGCATTCCTCTTGCGCAGTGTTTTTCTCATCATCAGTCGTCTTTATACAGTTTACAAATTGGATTTCTCTGTCATTCCAGGCCAAAAGAGACTCCTCTGCCTCTAATCTTAACCTGTCAACTGTATTTTTCAGCATATCATTCTCTTTCTTCGAGGCTTTCAAAAGCGCTTCATAAGTCTCTTCAGTGCTCTTCACCATTTTTTTTAAATTGACTGCTTCCTCATTCATTGCTTCAAGCTGCTGCTCCGTAGATGTGAGTTTTTCCTTGGCCTGGTTGGATTCGATGGCTACTTCTTTTAAAGCCACTGCAAGGTCATCCATGGCCTTCTTACTATTGTCTTCTGCTTCCATGGCCAGCTTCAGCTCATTCTTTAGAATATCAATCTCATCCAACAAAGTTTTCGTCTCCACAGATGCAGTTTCATACCTCCCATAGCCACGAAAGGCATTTTCTTTGTGCACCGAAACCTCATTTTTAAGCCTCTCTATCTCTTCCCCTGCCTCTTTATCTTTCCTTTGTCTTTCCTCTTCCAACTCCTGAATTTTCTCTTGTAGTGAAGTAACTTGAAGCTTTGATTCTTCTAGCAAGACATTGGACTGCTCAATCTGGCTTGTCTGTGCAGCAACCGACTCAGACAGCTTTTCTTCTGAATCTTTCCTTCTGCCCACTTCAACCTCTAACTCGTCCACCTTCTTTCTGCTATCAGATAATGAGGCCTCTGCCTGAGCGAGAGAGGATTTAAAACTGATTGTCTCTTCTTTCACCGTCTGTAGTGAAGCTTCCGTCTCAATCAACTTAAATTCCAATTGCTTCAGCTTATCAACCTCAGATCTCAGGGACTTGATGGTTTTATCCTTTATCTGTAATTCCCTGTTTGCTTCTCTAAGAGCTTCCTTCACATTGTTTATATCTGCATTGTCCATCTGCATCTTGATTTCTCTCATCTCGTTAAAAGGGTGGTCTCTCTCCCTCTCCGTTAAGCTTAATCGAGCCTTCACCTTGTTGAGCTCTTCTTGGATGTCATCATAGCTTATCATTTGCTCCTGCATCTCTGAACCGCTGACAAATATTTTCTTTGAAAGGATTGCATGATAATCAGCATCCTCCTAAAACTCAAGATAATATAATTCAAACTCAAAAAGAATAAATAAAATAAACTCATATGCCATGCAGTTGAATACAATACCTGAGAAGATTGACCACCTTTGAGTTCCTGACAAGTTTTGGATAAAATTCCAACAATAAAAGGGTTCTGAATTTTATTTATTTCCCCTTCTTTATTATAAATTTATTCGAAAAAGTCGATATCAAGTATCTTGACCTGCTAAAAACAATAGGGGAAATGTAATACCAGTAATGAAAAGTAAACCAATAACCCCAAAAGATTTGATTAGAATGCGTAAAGCCTGAGAAATGAACAAATTCCAGCCCTACCCAGATTTTTTTTTTATTTTTTTTTTTATTATTTTTTTTTTTTTTTTGGTTTTTTTTTTCTCATTGAGAGGAGAATCAGATCAGTCAAAAGAGGAGGACAGAGAAAAATGGGACATATATTTAACAGGGTCATTATCTTAAATTTAGGCAAAGTCTATGGTAATGTGAATCTTCTATATTTAGAAAACAAGTGTGAGGGCAGAGAAGAAGCCTAGGAATACTTTGAATATAAAACACTGCTAAACCAAGAATGAGATCTCCCACTTGTGACCATTCAATATATTTTCCAAACTTGGAGGCTTTCCTTTCCTAAGAAACCACTGCCTCAAGATTATTTCCAATTTAGCGCGATACCAATACAAAGGAATAATGACCATAATCATTGCTCTCAAATGGATGCAATAACTTTGAAATAATGAGCGAAATCAGCAGAGATAACATGAGATAAAGACTGATAACATGAGGTAAAAGGGACTCGTGTCAAGTGTCAATTGTCGAGATGGGATTATCATGACCTTGGTGATTCACATAGGGCCATAGCCATACATACAGATTGAAAATACATATAAATCAGATTGTATTATTTTAACAGACATTAGATTAGAAACCAATGTAAAACACAAATTTGAAAATTTTGATCAAATAAAGAAATTTCACTGTTTGAAAGGTTCAAATCAGCTCATATGACCAATGAGCAAATCAGTTTGTTTGCCGTTGGTGATGTCATGAGCTGCTTGCCCCTTTTTACTTGTATTGGCATTCAGCCATTCACAATCAAAAAGGGGGAAAAAAAAGGGGGGGGGGGTTGTTTCAAAAAAATCAAGCTCTTTATTTATCCTTGATTTAAAAGCATGACTATGAGCAGCAGCCAAACTTCTAAATGTTTATTACAGGACCTTCATGAAACTGTCAAAGAACATCACCCATACATGCATTAAAAATTTCAAAAACACTTCAGCTTTGACCAGGAAGAATCATGACAAGAAAATCTCTAACGGTGTGTTTGGATTGAAGGAAATGGAGGGAAAGGAAGGGAAGGGAAATGGAGAGATGGGGCATCTTTCATTTGGAAAACAAATGAAGAAGGAAGGGAATTGGAGGGGAGAGAAATGGAGGGATTAAATTATAGGAAATTGATCTCTCCAACGATGGAGAGATTTGGAAGAAAAATTCACCATTCTTCCCTCCCCTCCCTTTCCTTCCCCTCCCTTTCCTTCCCCTCCTCTTCTCGTCCCTCCCCTTTCTTTATCCAAACATACTGTAATATTGCTTACCTGATAACAACTCAGAAATCATGAACATCAACTTCATACTCTATAGAGCTCCGCTACTGCACTAATTAAATATGGAGCCAAATGTGGCGATTTATGTGAGAAATATAATTTGGCCCTCACTGTTTGAAAATGGAAGTCTTCAGGAAGCACAGAAGCTCAGAGAAATATAAATATTGACATTCCTCCCATAACACATTTTCTTTTTAATCTCTAAATGTAGTCTTCCTGCAGAATTGCAGATCAACCATTTTGCCCGAACTACCGACATATTGAAACCATTTAGGGATTCAAAATTTTATGACCAACAAACCCCGGAAAAGGAGAGAAATATACCCCTTTCCCTACATTTGCTGTTTTTTTTTTTTAATCTCATAATCAAAACCATGGAGAGTAGAGCAAGGAAGACCTGATAGAAACGTTGTTGTATGTTTATTTCCTAATGGTCACAGAAGAACCTGGACCTCTGGAGCAATCACTTCAAACCATTAAATTCCCATGTTCCAATTTGTTATCAGCTGGTGACAAGAAAGGTGGTTCAAAGAAGATTCCATGCTTGGTACTCCTAATATCCATTAACCTTGCCATATACATGCCTAACACGTATCTGAAACCTCAAATTGATACAGATACTTGGGAATGATAGCACATCCAAGTCTGATATTTCTAACAAGTCCAGCATATATGAAGGGTCCGAGCGTCAGAAATTCCAGCACAACCTATTTAACATTTGACCCACAAAGTTTAGTTAGGGATCCCAACAATAGAGTATCAGCTAACATCAAAGTAATTTCCCCTTGGACGCAACAATGATTTCTCTACATCAAACATTAAAAATCCTCAAAACTAGTCCCGTAGTTGCAGGCTTGCAGCAATTGCACGATCCAGCTGCTGATATCGGAAGCTCTGGAGATCCCTCACTCTATTTTGCAATGTGCATCTAGAATTTCTTATCAATATATTCCAGAAGTTCCACGAAAGCGCCACCATAAACCAAACCATCAATGAACAACCTTATTACTTATGAGCCAAAACAGGTCACTTCAGAAACCAAGTCTGTAACATCTTCAACAGTTTTAACATGTAAGTTGATGTGCTTTAGTGCTTTACATATTTTATCAATCTCTGGGTGACTAACAGCCCCACCCACAAAAATGTGCACTTTATTACCAAGTTCTGTCCAGCTATATGCAATCAATTTCTTAATACTCTGCTCTTTCATTGAACGCCTTACCTTGCTAACCTCTTTCCACATACCATGTCTAGCATAGATATTTGATAACATCACATAAGCCCCAGAATTATTAGGATCCAAATTCATTATTTTCGTTGCAGCTAACTCCCCGAGTTCTACATTCGAGTAAACATGACAAGCTGCAAGAAGAGCGCCCCAGACACCAGAATTACCTTCAAATGGCATTTCTTGAATAATTTTGTAGGCCTTTTCTAATTGGCCCCTTCTACATAATATATCAACTAAACAAGCATAATGCTCAGAGCTGGGAGACATGTTATAGTCCTTCACCATTGAATCAAACCAAGCCATACTATCCTTCACCTTACCAGTGTGACCACAAGCAGACAACATACTAAGAAAAGTTATTCCATTAGGAGTAAAACCCTTTGCACACATCTCATTGAAGAGTCTACAAGCTTTCTCATAGAGACCATGTTGTGCAAAACCAGCAAGAATGGTGTTCCATGAAACAACATCCGGGCTGTGAATTTCTGTAAAAGCCAACTCTGAATCTGCAACACCACCACACTTACTGTACATTGACAATAAGGTATTGCAAACAGATAGGTTTGACCCACATCCATACTTTACAACAAGTGAGTGAGTTTGCCTGCCGTCTTGTAAGGATGTCAGAGAGGAGCAGGCAGTCAGAACAGAAACAAAAGTTCCCTTGTCTGGTTGAAAACCCAGTCTAAGCATCTCTGAAAATAATTTCAGAGCATCCTCTCCAAATTCATTTTGAGTATAACCTGCAGAGCAAATAATCAGTTTCTATGGACAGTAACTCGATACGCCATAAGATTCACTTGCCTGATATTAAGATGCCTAAAACAATAAGATATTTAGTACCAGCAGGTTGTAGAAAGTCAAGGCTGTCTATAAACAGGACAAACCGAGCATTTAAATTAAGATACTAACAAACTACCAAGATTATGTACCTGTGATCAGAGCATTCCAAGCAACATTATCCTTCTGCCTAAGCTGATCAAACAAATTCCTGGCATCCTCCACCTTCCCCTCTTTACAGTAACCAGTTATCATCGCAGTAGTTGCAACAACAGTCTTATTTGGCATCTGATCAAACAACACCCTAGCTTCCGCGAACATTGCATTTTCTACATACCCACTAATCATCACAGTCCAAGTTACACCATTCTTCTGAGGAATCTGATCAAACAAAGCCCTTGCATCATTTATCATTCCTTTTTGAAGATACCCATCAATCATAGCAGTGCAAGAAACAACATTCTTGTATGGCATCTCCCTAAAAAGCTGAACCGCCTTCTCAACCCTACCATACTTAACAAAACCTGATAACATTGCATTCCATGAAGCCACATTTCTCTTAGGCATCATATCAAAATACTTAAACCCCTCATCAATCAAGTCATTCTCAATACAACCTGCTATCATAGAATTCCAAGACACCACATTTCTTTCTGGCATTGACTCAAAAAGTGTTTTGGATTCATGGAAAAATCCATTTTGCCAATACCCAGTAAGGAGAGCATTCCAGGTGACAACATCTCTCGTAGGCATTTTATCAAACAGTTGGCGGGCAGCCTCAATGTTGCCTGCTCGTGAAAGAGCCGAGATCTTGGCATTGCAATTAAAGACATGTTGAGTTGAGTAGAGGTTAAATTGGTGCCGAAAATGGCGAAGATAGTGGAAATTAGGTGAATTAAGCAGTGCACTGCGAGTATGGCAGATTGTTCGAAAATGGCAGCAAACAAACATTTTTCATAATATATGGTATAAACAAAGATGGGTTGATAAAGTAGAGGAAAGAGCGCAGTTTATACACCTTTGTTCGTAAAGAAGCTACCTGAGTCAATTGTCAATTGCTACATTTCGCAGGCTTTGATGGTTGATGGATCATAAATTCACAGGGCAGTTGGAGGGATAGTAATAAGAAGGATAACAATGGGAGGATAAACATAGGTGATTAGATGGGACAAGGATAAAAAATTGTTTGATAAGTATGAGAATCAAATTAGGGATAACTAATAAATTTATAAAAATATTCTTACTAACTTTTACCCTTTTTTCTTACCCTTTCAATTTCATTAAGGGTAATTTGGTCTTGAAAAACCCATTTCTGATCCTCTCCCCTTATACCACCCCCCTAATTATAAAAATGGAGGGATAAGTGGGTGTTTCTATCTCTATCCGTTACCCCCTTCTAATCCTTATCCCTCTAAACAAACACTATATTTCTTCTATCTCTATTTTTTTATCCTTGTCCCACCCCTTTTATCCCCCTAAACAAACACCCTCTTATTACCTAGTCCCGACCATATATTCATTTTATAAGATGTTTACTGTATTAGTGTTACTAGAGATGTCAGTGGGACGAGTCAAGTAAAATACATGTCCCATCCACGCCCCAATTGGGGCGAAATTGGGTCCCGATTTGGCGGGTGGTGGGGTGGGGATGGGGAATAATAACCATACCTGCCATTGGGTGATGGGGCGGGGGTGGATTTTAGGTTGTACCCGCCCCATTCCCACTCCGCTCCACCCACCCCACTTTGTACCCGCCTCATCCCCACCCCATAACATCTATAAATTTTTCAAACATAAAATTGTATACTTTTATACTATTTTATCTAAAAATTAATGCAAAATAAAGTTGTACATATATATACTTATATTTTAGGAAAATTTAGAAAATAACACCAGCAATTTCACAAAACATGGATTAACACCACAAAATCTCAAACTTTTATTATAACACCACAAAAAAAATCAAAAATGGATTTCACCACCCCTAACGAATTTTTGGATGAAATCCGTTAGTGGGACCCACTATGGACATGTGTCAATAAGATATTGGTAAAAAAAAAAAAGATAAATAAAAAGTAGAATAAAAAAAAAACTAAACCCTAAGTCAACCACTAGCCCACCACCGGCCACCCTTACCCCTACCGCCGGCAGCCAATCTCCCATCAAAACTGGCGAAACCAACCACACCACCTGCAAAACCGGCGACTGAACCTCTTCCCCCATTTCCCCTCCTCGAAACCTCCTTTCAACCGCCCAGAAATTGAAATCCATCGCCTAGAAATTAGCCTCCCAGAATTCGAATTTCGTCGCCCAGAAATCCACCCCAGCCACTTTGAACCATCACGAAAACAACGCAACCCCTCATCATCACCAACTCCTACATTCTCACAGCGGCAACCGCACAAACCACCAGTATCTATCACACACAACCGAAACATCACCGAAATCGACTATTCTAGGGCTTCCATGGTCGATTTCGACCATTTTGGGGTGAGGGTAAAGGATGAGGGGTCGAAGGGGTTAGGCCGGCCGACGGTTTTGTGGTGGGGGAAGGGAGAGGGTAGGTAGATCTTTTTGGTGGAGCTAGGCTGATCGTTGGGATTTGCGAGGGGTTGTGGTGGGTGTGGGTGACGGCCAGTGATTTCGACGGTGAAGAAGGGGTTGTAAGGCGGCATTAGGGTTGTCGGCGGTGGAGTGTACGGCTGCAGTAGCGGTTGTGGAGCTGGGTTAGGGTTTTGGTTTTTTTTTTTCTTTTTTTTTAAATTTTTCTTTTTATTTTTATTTGTCTTTTTAATTTAAAACCAATGTCGTATTGACACATGTCCAGAATGGGTCCTACTAATGGTTTCCATCCAAAAATTCGTTACATGGTGGTGAAATCCAATTTTTGAATTTTTTTTTTTTTTTTGTGGTGTTATAATAAAAATTTTAAATTTTGTGGTGTTATAACCTATTTTTTTAGAATTTTGTGGTGTTATTTTCTAATTTCCTATATTTGAAAAAAATAAAATAAATAAAAAAATTAACAAGTGTAATATCAACAATGGATTGTTTTTTATTTTTTTTATTGTAATCTATATATGTAGTGTTGTCGTATTTGAGAGGCAGGGATTAAGCAGGTCTTGGGCGGGTATTAGGTAGGGGTGTGTAATCCCCCGTATTTTTAAATATTTTATAAATGAAATTTTAATTTATTTATAATATCTATTTGTATTTTCAGGTATTTATTTTAAAAGGTTCCAAATTATTATTTTTGGGTTGATAAACGACTGTATTACAAAAAGAATTTTTATGTATCCATTCTACAATTGATGTCCATACAAACAAAGTCCAAACCATTTACTTATTTAATTGGCCCATTATCTTCATGAGGCCCCATTTTACTCTACTTACCCTATAACTCTCTCTCTTATAAATACCCCATGAATCCCCAAATTTTCCCAACACAAAAAGGTTAGTATTATTTTCTTTTCCCTTTTATTTTTCTTTCCTTCCTTTTTCTTTTTCTTTTTTTTTTTTCTTTTCTTTTTCCTTTTCTTTCTTTCTTTCTTTCCCTTTCCTCCTTCCTACGTGAGCAAAGCTCACTACTGCCCAGACCTACCGCCACCACCCTGCTGCCGCCGCCGCCCCTGACCGCCGGCCCCCGATGGCCTTTTCCCCTTCTTTCTCCTTCTTGTTTTTGTTATTTTACTTAATGTTTATTAAATTATTTTGAGTTTGTTTTTATTGTTTGAAATTAATTTAATTAGTAAGAAAAACTATATTTTGATGATTTAATATTATAATTTCAGATTATAATTGTGTTATAAATTTTCAGATTGTGTAATTATAAAACCTAGGGTTTTAATTTACTTAAATTGGGATTTTAGGGTTCTTATGAACAATTAAATTGAGGTTTTTGCTCCTAATGTATTTCTAATGATTAATTAAGCATAAAAATATGTTTTAAAGGAATTTTATAGAGTTTTAAATCTAATTATATTGTTGGAAATTAGTTTGGCAACTAATTTATGATTGTTGATTATTTCCTAGGTGGTGCTTATTTTCTAGGAGACTTTTAAGTGATTAAAAGTGGCACAAAGGATTATTTACACGAGGTATGTACATGTCTATTTCTTTGTAAGTAGTATCATGTTTAGGTACCAAAAGGAAAGAACAGTTTCATGTTTAGAGAATTCTTGGATGGAAATTGTTTGGTTAAACATTGAATTAATTCATGTACTTATGTTTATGAGACATGTTTTGGTGAATTGATTATGTGTATGGAATTATGGATGCAAGTATGTTGAATTATATTGGATTAATTGTTTGTATGGAATGTTGATACGAGCATATTTTTATTGGATTGGCTTGTTAATCACATTTGGAATATTTAAAGATTGGAATTGAATGGTTTAAATGGAATGAATTTATTAATTATTCCTAAGATTATTATTATTTTATTTATTACTCAAGTATGACTTGTTAGTATGTTGAGTAAAAGTGGAATAAGCCGAAATGGCTAGGTGGGTTGACTATGTTTAACAATTTTGGATATCTTGGAAGTTTAATGGAATTAAAGGTCAATTTGTGATGTGATTATCGTTGTCCTAAATAAGATTGAAAGTGAATTATATGTATGATTATTATATATGGTTTACTTGAATGAGTCAGCTATTAATTAAATTTGTAATCACGTAAAGTGAAACATGGATAAGCAATAAAATCCTGGAAATGGTGCACTTCTAAATTATTGACAATTATGGGTTGGGGTACACGGTGGTAGCCCGTGGCTTTTCGAGCCTTGTTTGATCAACATGTCCTCTTTTCTTTTGGTATTTACTTTTTTATTTTATAATGAAAGTTAGATGGGATCCTAGATTAACTTTGTGAGAATGGAGTCGCGCCCATTCTTACATCTATATTTTTAACACGTGGCGGTAACATGTTAATAGTTCTCCTCTATTTTATTTTAAGTAAGTGATTTGGGAAAAGGAGAATTATTGAGATGTTATAGGGTGAATATCAAAGAGGGGGTGGGGCAGGGATGGGGATGAGAATGCTAGGTGGGGATAGAAAAGTCGACATCCGTCCCGCCCCGCTCCGCCCCATTGACATCCCTAAGTTTTTATTCAGTAATTATATACCATACGTGTATATATGCATTTTAAAGGGTGTTACTCGTACGTGTTAGAATACTAAATGCCACAATAAAATTCTCACGCCAATGTATACAATGACCTAGAGTTGGCAAAAGTTGACATGACACGACAACACGACACGACCCAGAGACGGAAAAATTGGGTTACTGGGTTAGTGACATGGATTTACGACACACTTAATTAAATGGGTCAACATGACATGACACATTTAATTTAACAGGTTGGGTTAGGGTTGAGAATTCCAACACAAAACTAACACGAGTCAACCCGCTTAAGAAAAATAATCGATCATGTATGGATTTGGTGAGAAATATTTATAATAGGACTAACATTTCACTTATAACACAACACGAACCGAACACGAAAAAAACTGATTAGTGTTAGGGATTTTCGATACGATTAATTAAATGTGTCAATTATTAAATGATTCGGGTTAGTGTTGATATCCTACTTATACGTGTTAGAGTATTAAATGCCGAAAATATACGACGACCCTTTTTCCCCTCTACTCTCCCTTCTCTCCCTAATTTCTTCATAGGCGAGGGGTGGTAATGAGTATGGCATATTCACAAGTAATACTCTAAAAGATAGTCAAATAAGGTGAATTAAACATGGTCTTAGTAAGGCTGGTAGCAGCAGCATAAGTTTTGATTGCAATACTAAACTTTAATACACAAAACGGATAAACTTAAACCAGCCACATTTCCTAACACCCCAACACCCCCCCCCCCCACATGATGACCTTTGCGGCTCACTCTCCCAACTCCCATCATTTTCACCCAAACACTACGTTGGGCCACCCATGAGTATCAGCCAAGCACCATATCTTTCATAACTATCCACGACCAGCCACCACCACAACTTAATTCTTTCTCCAATCTATCCTCACTTCCCCCACCACCATACCCACTCACGGCAGACACAACTCAAGGTCTACAGTAACAGCCTCCGCCATGGAGCAGGCAATGGGGCAGCTACAATAAACGCTGCCACCATGGTTGGGGAAAGGAAAACCAACCCAAAACCCTTGTTGAAAATGTCCTAATAATCTATCTCAAGTCCACCCAACAATTAACAGTTGGGTAGAGAGATATGCCAATCATACGGAGGGAGAAAAGCATAGAGAGGTCCTAATAGTATCACGGATACAGATGCAGATACTAAAACAGATAATTCAATTGACAATGCTGTGAATATAAAGTGCATATGATAAGAAGACATAAATGGGTACCAAGGGGCATGGGTCAAAGCGATTGCAGGATTAATAACTTAGAACAGTACAAAAGGGGAACAGCACCCACGCTTATCTTTCACACCTCTCCTTGAGGCGTAATTATCTCAACAAACAGAACCCTTGGAAAAATTCATTATCCATTGCTTTATGTATCCGAAAATGGGGACAAGAATCGAATACAAAACTTGAAGATCAAGGATAGAAAAAATACACCTTCAATCTTAACAAAGTATAAGGACACTAAAGTTTAACATCTTTATCCTCTGAGAATCTGGTTAGCAAATTTTATATCAATAGCATAAAAATAACACAACAAATAATCAACATAAGAGAACAATAAACATAAAGGTCTGAATATATATCAACTACATTAGATGAATGTTTCCACACAAAATCAGTGTGACACCAACAAAACAGAAATTAAATACCAAATATACCAAGTTTGAGTGTTCCTTGCTCTTAAAACACACCACCCATCATCACTTTTAACTACATCATTCACCAGTAAACCCCTTCCTCTCCAAACAAAAAACAACCCCTATTTAAGTCCTGCATTAAGCCTAACCAAGAACCATCAAACTAATACTATTATAGTAGTAAAAGCATTAACAAACGATAAGGCAAGCTCAATTACTTAAGCACGTTCACCCCTGATCCTGCGGGCAAGCTGAATGTCCTTAGGCATAATGGTAACACGCTTGGCGTGGATGGCACACAGGTTGGTGTCCTCAAAAAGACCAACAAGGTAAGCCTCAGCAGCTTCCTGAAGAGCCAATACAGCGTGACTCTGGAAACGGAGATCAGTCTTGAAGTCCTGGGCAATCTCACGAACCAACCTCTGGAACGGCAACTTCCTGATCAAAAGCTCAGTACTCTTCTGGTACTTCCTGATCTCACGAAGAGCCACAGTTCCAGGACGGTAACGGTGAGGCTTCTTCACTCCTCCGGTAGTTGGAGCAGACTTACGAGCAGCCTATTAAAAAAAATCCACAATATAACAAACATATTTAACAATTGAATTACAAAATTGTGTACAATTTATCAAAACTTAAACTCAAATAAGAGATACAATGAGATGGATCAATCAAATACCTTGGTAGCAAGTTGCTTCCTGGGAGCCTTTCCTCCAGTACTCTTACGAGCAGTTTGCTTGGTACGGGCCATATCTAGAATAATTACATATAATCAGCAATTGTAAATAAATCAAATCAACATCTTAAAACGAAATTAAAGAATGCAAAAGGCGAAAACAGCTTCGATGATCAATAAACCCTAATTTCATTCGATCCTTAAAGAGAATTTCAAATATTTCAACAAAACTCAAAACCTTGTCAGACAAAAACAAAAACCTAATTTCAAATTTTTGAAAACGAACACAAAATTTGAAGATCCAATTGAAACGACATATGATAGTATTTCAGATGCAGATATAGCTTCAAAGAATTGATATCTTTAAAACAATTGATGATTGATTTGCAGTACATAAAAAGAAAATCTAGAACAAAACACATGAACAGCTCAAAAAATAAACAGAAAACTACATAAATTGATCGAAATTGTAAAAACCAAGATGTCGGAACCTTAATTATGATTTCTACAGCAAATTAATTCAATACGCAAACTAAAATTATCATGAATAATAACAAACTAGATATCAAAACCCTGATTATGATTTCTACAGCAAATTAATTCAATACACAAACTAAAATCATCATGAATTGAAACAAAATAGATAACAAAACCCTAATTATGATTTCTACAGCAAATTAATTCCATGCGCAAACTAAATCATGGAGACAAAACCTCTAAATTTCAAATCACAAGATAACAAACAAACAAATCAATCAAAAAACATCGAAAAAATTGACTCAATACAAATTGAAGAAGATCAGAAACAGAAGTTTACCTCAATGAAACTCCTTAGCTAAAGAACTTTGACGATTTCCTCTCTCTCTCCTCTCTCTCTCTCTCTACAATGTGAGCAATAGCAGAAATTTGAAAAGTTAGGTGGTAAAGGGGTTTATATAAGATGAAGGGGGTGAGCAAATGATAAAAGAATCGGACGGCTGATATTGGTGATCCGTGTGATTTTACAGTTGTATGATCTAACGGTGGGTAATAGCGAAGGTTGTGTTTTCTCTAATGAAGTGGACGGTTATGATTTGAGGTACGGGTTTGCTTTGGATTGAGGGTTTGCATGTAGGTTTCCTATTGGTTGACATTTTCTAACTAACACGTTTTGTAGGGTTTTGTTTTTTTTTTTTAAAAAAAGGATATTGATTGTGATGTAAAGTGACGCATATACCCTTGCATAATGAAGATCAATTAATTAGGTGTTGTTTGGTTGGAGGTAAAAAATATCTAAGTGGGGGAAATGAATAAGGGAAGTTTCAATTCCTATGAACTATGGGAATTCACTTATCAAGCCCTTACTTGGTAAGTCATAATTTCCATGATTATTGTGGGGGTCACTTACATAATTATCATCAATAATTTAATCTCTTTATTTCTCTCACCAAATTTGTTAACTTAAATAAAAAATTATCAAGTTAACTAATAAACCATAGGAAATCAAAGTTCCTATGTTATCAACCAAACAAACTTAAGTTAATTTCTAGGAAATAGATAAGGGAAATTATTTCCCATGAAATATAATTTTCTATGGGAACTCATTTCCCATGTCAACCAAACAACACCTTAGATTATCTATAGTCCAAAAAAAATTCTCCATATTATCTGTATTTACTTGTATGGGCTATGGAGGATTGGAGGGCTTCTAGCCTTCTAGGGTTGGGCATGGCCATATAGAGCAATTCCTATATGTAGGATAGTAGAGTTGTCGAAAATATACCCGATCCAATAAACCGCTTTGTACCAACAATGACCTAAATTAAAAGATTTTGATTTTTATTTTGGACTAGTCGTTGGAGCGCGTGAGCCCCCTCGACGGTACGATGATTTAGTTGGGTGAATAATTTGTTACTTTTAACTATGATCATTGTTTTGTGCTTAATTTGTGTTTTCTTACATTGTATATATTATTGGGAGTCGTATAGGGAAAATGAAGTGCATATGTAAAGTTTAAACATGTGGTATATGAAATAGGTGTTTTAATTTGTAATGAAAATTGAAGGGAATCTATAAAATATTATATGATGTTTTGTTTTAATGGATCGAAGTAAACGATTAGTGCATAATTTTAAATTTCGTGTTTTGATATATGTAAGGGTTGGAGCCGTAACTGAGTGCTTTTTAACATGGTGATTATATTGTGCTTTATGATTTTTTTTTTTTCAGCATCTAGTATAAGTAAAATGAAGTGTACATGTGAATTTTAAACAGGTAGTACATGAGAGGTTGGAAAAAGGAGTAAAATGAAGTTGAAGGGTGTTTGATAGTTTAAATAGGTTCCTCCTTCTCTTTCTCTCTTCTACCCCTCTCCTCTCTTGGCATGCAGCCTTCTCTACTCCTAACCCACCCTCTCTCTTTTTGAGTTTGCCCTTTATCACTCTCCCGAGTCCCAACCCCACTTTCTCCCTTGGCCCCTTTCTTTTCCTTAGCTCTTTTTTCTCTCTTAGCCCCCTTTCTTTTTCACGACCTTTCTCTTACACGACTCCCTCTCTTTCAACGCATCTCTATATCCTAGCCCCCTTCTCCCCCCCCCCCTTTTCCCTTCCCTTTAGTGTATTCTTTCTTTTACTCGTCTTTTATAATTTTGAGCATTTTAGAAAGTTTTTAAAAAGTATTGTCATCTCCTTACCCAATTACACTCTAAAAAGTATTCTCTCTCCTTCCTTATTTCCCAAAACTCTCTCTTTCTCTTTCTTGGACTCTCTTTCCTTGCTTCTTTTTAATGGATTCATAACTTATAGCGCTCTCTCTCTCTCTCTCTCTCTTTCTCTCTATCTCTCTATCTCGTATGGTCATGCAAACACAAAAAAAGTATTTGCATATGTATCTAACACGATTCTACCTTAAGATTTAAACATGATTTCGAGTATTAGAAAATAAATTTCTAGGATATAGTAGATAATACTAACCACATTCACCAATCTTGAAAATACTGCAAAATTTACATAGTTAATCTTTATTGGCCACCCCCCTTCCTAGTTGCCCTCTTCACCATTTTCTATTTTACTTTACGCTTTATCTCTTGACTTATGATTTTACAAATTTTAGATTCTTTTCTACTGTATAATTATTGTCTATCTACTCCTTGATCTGATTACATACTAGAGATGGTCCTTTAAACAGTCTTTTATCTCTTTCTCACTAGTTTTCTTTCTTCTTTTCACATTTCTAATTTCTCTCCATTTTTCTCCTCCATCATCTAAGTCTTTTCCACAATTAAACACTAAAAATAGTCTCATGAATTGCTTCTACCCCCCCTCTCTTTCTCTCTCCTCTCTCTCTTTTCCTTTGGCCTTGTCTCCCCACTCCCTCTTTTTTTTTAAATTTTTATTTTTTAATTGCTGCCCTCTTACTCATTCCTTCTTTTATTAGCTGAAACTCTTTCTTTCACTCTTATTCTCTCTTTCCTAATCCTTCTTGTCCTTGTTGCATCTTTGAGAAGGCTTTAAATTATATTTTGCACATGCTCTTTTTCCCCTCAGCCCCTCCATCTCTTTCTCCCCCCCGACCTCTTTATATCTCCCAACTTTCTCTGGCTCTCTCTTTCTTTCGGCCTCCTCTCTTTTTTTCTTCCCGTCCATCTCTTTTTCATTCCTAGCACCTCTCTCTATCTATTTTTATCTTTTTATCTCTCTTTATCGTTCTCTCTAGGCCCCTTTATCTCTTATCACTTCCTCTTTTGACCCCTTTGTCCCTTTCCTGGCCCCCCCTCTCTCTCCCAGCTCCTCTTTCTCTATTCTCCTATCGCCTCTCTCCTAGCCCCTATTCTTTCATACTCTCTCGCATCCTCCCTTTCGCTTTGTCTCTTTTCGGGCCGCCTTCTCTCTCGACTTTTCTTTTTCCCGGCTCCTTCCCTCTCTCTCTCTCTCGATCTCCCAACTCCTTTCTTTCTCCCTCCCCCCTCCACATACTGATGAATCTAGCATGATTCTTATTGGTGTTTTTAAATTTTTTTTTTGGCTCCTTTTGGTACTCTTTTTCTCAAAATTGAATTGAAAATATTCAAAAACACTTACAAGATATTTCATCCCAAGCTATTATTGCACCTAAAATAATCCTTACTCGAAATATTAAAAAAAAAAAAAACTTACCAATCCATTTTGAATGTCATGGTGATAGACTATAAACAAACGATAGTATAATTTAAAGTTAGGATTTAATCGGTATATTGAAACATTAGTGATTAGATATGTTTATATATCATTGTTCTTTAACAAAAGCTTCAAAGATGCTTTGTACAGTTTAAACCTCTTTTGATAGTCTATTTTAAAAAACTTTTTTTTCCTCATAAAACAAACCTTACATTAATACTTTTATTTTTATTAAATGCTCAACATCTCCTCCTCAACTTTACTTAAGATATTGTCTTAAGAGTGTTTTTTGTTATTGGGTCTCAATTTATTATTAATATTATTTTTTTTGCTACTTTTATAAAATCAAATTTGAGTTTATCCTTATCACCTTTATCTTGTTCCCACTTTCTCCTTTCCTCTAACTCTTGTTTTATGGGTTGAATAAATTGGTGCATGAGGTGTTTTTAAGCATGCAAACGGAAGATTTTTGTTAATTTTTTTTTTTGCCAACTTTAACTAAAAATTAAATTCTTAAAGAGATAGAATGACTCCTAAATTCTTTACCGAGAAAATTATTCAGCATGTAATCAAAATGATTTTCGAACAAATAAATCGAGGAATAATTAATAATGGCGAGATACATACAACACACCATCACATTAAATTATCCAAAGGTTATAACCCTAATTTTTTTTCAATTAGTTAAAAAAACATCCATTTTTGTTAAAAATTGAAATTATTCTAGAACCCTTCTAGTCATGGTTAGATTACTTTAACAACTAATAGGTCCCAAGTAGTTAGAAATTAGTAGTTTCAGATTTCTTGTAAAGTTTGAAATTAAATTTTCATTAAATACTCATTTGGTTTCCGAAAGAAAATTACATTTGGTAGTTTAACATAGTTAATAAGGAAAATAAGATAGTGAAAAGAAATAATTAGAAGTCACATATGTCAAGTACCAAGACATTAAATTAACTTTGAAAATAAGAATATTTGTATTAAAAGTAGGTAAATATTTTTTAAAATCGAAATAGTTGTGTTGGAAAAAGATAAAATAGGAATAGTTGAGTTGGAAAAAGATAAAATAGGAATAGTTGTGTTGGAAAAAGATAAATATTTTGATAAATAAGGATAATTGCATGGAAAATATGTATGTAAAAGGGAAAATGTGAAAATAAGAATATATAAGTGCATTGAAAGTACTTTGCGAATGGTCTGGATTCCTATGTATGCCTATAATCATCTTCTGGAGTCTCATCTCAAAGCAATGGAAGGCAAAACAATAGTGGAATCAAAACAATACTTTTTTTTTTTTTTTTTTTTTTTTTTTTTTTTTTTTTTAATAATACTACTATGTATGCCTATAATACTCCTAATTTAAGGATAAGTATTTCGTATATAATACAAGTTCTTATTGAGATTACTATATAATATAAAATAAAATTTGAAAATTGAGAAAAAATAAAAATAAATTATCTAATTCAAGGAATAATAGACACTCTCAAACAAAGGAAATAAAAAAAAATTGACAACACAAGTGGCCTCGAGATAAATAGAAATCTCTCCAAATTAAATAATCCCTAATTCTTATTAACTGAGTATGAATAAGCATTAATCTTTAAACTAATCATTTTCTTGGGTTAAAAAAACAACCCACTTTTAAAATCACAAAAATAGTTTGATAACATACTTTTTCATTGAAATTCATGTTCTTCAATCCCAAAAGATACTCACGATAGCGAAAGTATGCTCACCAACGACAGAAAATTATAGCTTAAATCTCACATTTGTGAATGCACAAATCTATGAGATACAACATTTATAACATTTATCCATTACTAAAAAATTTGAACAAAAAATAAATTACAAATAGGAAATAAACCCAAGATTTATAATGAGCTTAAAAGCAAAACCATTTGGTCAAAACATCAGCATTTCAAAGTTATGGACACAAATTCATAGATCATACCTTTCAAAATATAAACCCCAAATTTCTTGAAAATTATGTTTGGTTATGAAAGTTGAAAATTATCGAAGGATGATAGTCATGGGCAAACCTTAGGCAAAAACACGTACCTAAATATGATAATACGTTCCAGGCTTTCTTTTCCCATAACTGACATAGAAATCAAGCAGGGCCTATAATGACCCATTTTAGAACTGCTTAGGCTTAAGACAACATTTACACAAGTAACATCTTCCGCAAACGTATCTCATGATACCTTCATCTTAGACACAAAATTGTCAATCATTTTGACCTTAGGAGACTGAGTCCTTAGATGCCCTGTATCGTGAAATCAACGACCATTCCCTGGAGTTAACAACCTAAAGAGCATAAGAACAAACAACATCAACTAATGCTGATAGCAAATTTTCCTTGTCAATTATTCGGAAATGACGAGGAAGGGGGAGTGTAGAACTTTACAGCAGCAATTGATGGCACATCAGAATGCCTCGGTGATTAATTGATTATATTACAAAAATGAAAATTATAAATTAAAAAAAAAAAAAGTTGAATTATAATAAAAACAATTTGATTGAAGCCCCCAATATAAAACACATTCTTACAAATTTTTAAGCTTTATAGCACATGTAAATGACCTAAAAGGCCTCAATCAGAGAAGAAACATTCAACATGTGATCATATATTCATATGAACAGGAATTTACATAACAGGTTCAGATGCTAAGTGAGAAGATTAGTGCTCTTGCTGACATTTCTTGTTTTTGAGATTAAGCTTTTCACATTCCTAAATCCTGATGCAGTCTATACTTGATTCCCTTTCCGAGGCAAGTTCTAAATAAGTAAAGAGCTATAGAGAACCATCACAATTGAAACAACTACAGTAGCACAACATATACCATCGTATCAAACAATAGCATAAGCATGCAAAGAGATAAGGTGATAGCAGGTTACAATGAAATTGTATTTGTTGATACATGCTTTCCCAATGCAAGGCAACAATGGCTATTATTTCATTTTTTGATTCAGCAAGAAAAAAATCTTGTTAATCAAGCAACCGTTACCTCAAATGTCATGTTGCAAGAAGAAGGAGCCCAATCCTCGGCAATATTCCTTTCAAGTGATTTCTGATCAGTTGTAGGTGGAACCTGAATGTCAATACTTGCTTCAGCTTCAGAAGGTTGTAAATTCATGACAAATTACTGAGAGACAATATCAAAATCACTCAAGAACAATTGTATCTTAGGCAACTATTATCTAATAATTCTCATCATTGAGCATCAGACCCTCTGCCACAATAAAGACACGGTTTGTGCCATGAACATTAATTGAAATAGAATTTATATTGTTTCTAAAATCAATGAGATTTGTAACATTAATCTGAAACCTGTTTTATATACCAAATTGAATCAACACCACCCCAAAATTATGAACTAATTGAATTAAATCAGAAAAAAAAATCCAATTTTAAAACGAACTGAATTGAATTGAATTGACAAAACCCCTTAAATTCTAAACGATCTGAACCTCACATAGTATGCGAAAGTTCAATCCAATTCAGGTTCACTTTCCAAATTTTGCTTAATCCACCAGTATGCGAAAGGTTTGGAATTGAAATACTGGAACCTCACATAGTAAAGAATTTTGTACTCAAACAACTTAGAGTTAGCTAGCATGGCCATGTCACCTACGAGTAAACTTCCTTTGACAGGTCAACGCACAACTTAGGCAACACAGACGGTTTGCATGTCTAGTCATTTTCAAGCATAATTTAACAATAATCTTAAGATCCAAGGAACACACATCTTTAGTTTGGTATTACTCAGCAACAAATTTCTATCTATTACAAGGATAGGAGTCTTATCCTCTATTCTCATCAGCTGAGAAAATGATTAAAATCAGGTTATAGATTACTTTAGTACTTATGATTCAAACTGAAATTTGGTCATACCTGTAACTTCAATCTTCCTGAGCATGAATTTGAGAATAAATTTATAGTGTTTATTCAAGCGTCATATGGCAGACATTTCTAAAACATCACAAAAATAAGCCTTTGGCAAATACAAAATATAAACACAAGCCGAAACCCTAGCTTTACTCGATCAAACAAATCTGCCAGTGTCACATATATATCAACAATGCAACCAGTTGAAGCCTGGAATTTTCCTTAATAGCTAGCTTTGTATAAAGCCTTCTTTTATTCACGTACTCAAACCAAGGGTTCAAGGGGGTAAGGAGTTACTTCATTTCACCACCATAATGAACCGCACCCCCTTTTCAAAGTACTTGAGGTGATATGAAAAATCCTAGAAACAAAGGCCCAACCTTTTCAAAGTGTTGGTTTTTGTTTACCCTTATCCCAAAATGCAACAGTTGGCAGCAATTTCACAATGAAGTGCAGGCAGGATAAGAATATGTGCATCAGAAGAAAATTATGTAACCTTCAAGCCAAATGCATATGAACGGATGCAATAGCACTTCAAAAAAAATACTCTAAAGAATAAATAACATCATTGCAAGACAATGTCCCCGTAAAAAGAATGCAGGAATATTACATATAATCAATACAAAAACAAAGAATTGTAAAATTTACCCTGCAATATAGCTTGAATTTTCTGTAGTATAGGCTGTTAGCCATGACAATTAGGGCATGCTGGCGTTTCATGGTGAACCACTGAAAAATTATAAAATTAGAAGTTAAAGTTTATCTCTCAATCACAAGGAACAGTAACATGTTAGACAAAATTCAAACTTGCAAACAAGAGAAGCATGAAGACATAGATCTACAGTTATAAACAGATCTTTCTCTCTGTCACACAATACACACACACAAAGACCAGCAGATTTAGATATAAAGGTGCAAACGGAGAGAAAGGGAGAGCTGTAAAAAAAAAATTGAATTGAAAAATTCCCAGTTGAAAGACGAACTCAAAAAAGAAAACTATGGGAATGACGAGATACCTTACGAGCAAGTTGCTAAGTAAGATCCATTTGAAATCAAATTCAATCGAAAACCTGCGAAAAACCCAGAAATAAACAAAAAATAAATCAGTTAGCATTAAAATAAAAGGGAAATGATATGAATCGAAATACAGGAGAAATTCTTCAACTAACACCACAAAAACAAAATAACAATCCCAAAATTATACTAAATGAATTACTGATTGATGAATTATACCGAGTTTAAACACCATTAAATTCAGATTAAAACACCATAAGCAACAGTTATATATATTTTTTAAATGAAATACCTAGAAATCATAAGATTATGAAATGGATATCTAGCCTATCCATTCAACAAAAACACAAAATATAATATAAGATTAAGAAAACGAATAAAGCTTATTAGGACAAAATCATGGATTATAAAGTAGAAATGACTTCATTATATTGAAAACATCAACAATGATATCACTGGTTAAAACTAAAAAGAATCCTACTTTTCATAATTATAAATGCAGATATTAAGAATGAGGTAACATTTAAGCTAGAAGAGAGTCAAGTAGCGGACAATATCTCAGCTCATGAGGTTGAATTTGACAAAGTACTGCTTGAGTTCAGGTAGGCCAAGCAAACCCAATGCTCTATGGATTGATTGCATTTCGTTCAGTGAACGATCAACAAAGATCCACCTTGGATTATCCCTATTATATAGCAGAAATCCGCAAAATGTGCAATCCATAACATAGTAAACTTACTAAAACACACTTGACATGGAACTACCTTAAGTATATCGTATACCAAGTAAATCAATAGTTCTTTTTTCTTGTAAGTAAATACAGTACTTTTGAGTTGGAAAACCCATTCTGTTATCACAACTACCACCAATGTAACAGTTGCAAATTTCATCCTACACCCGAGTGTAGTTTTACACTTTTGCACGCTTTCAAATTCCCCTCCCAATTTACTCATGAGCTGACCACATTGGGAGGCTAATGTGAGAGTGTGTAAAATTACACCCATTCTAGGATAGACACCCTATTTAACAACAAATAACACACTATAAGCATATTATGGTGAAATTTCAATGCAATTTAGACCCTCAAACTCAACAAAAACACACCATAATTCGATGAAACTGCACTAAGTGACTGCACAACACAAGGTGCTTTCCTCATACTTAACATCAGTACTATAAATTCCCGTAAGGGAGACAAAGTCATTTATCAAAATCTTACACAAACAACACCATTCCAAAAACGGGTATCAAATTCAACCACAACCCCTAAAATCTAAAATAATTTTTTATTCACTAGATTATAGGAATGATCACAAAAGTAACCAAAAAAAAAATATCAATATATATAATGATAAAATAAGAGCAAATTACCTGAAACCGCTCTGGTATATAAAGAAACGCATACAAATTTGTAAATGTTGAAGGTCAAGGAATTCTGCAAAACAAGAGACAGAACAAAACATGAATTGGGAATTTTGGCCCAGCAAAATGGAAGCTTTTTACTCAAAAATATTCATTAAACAGTTTATTGCGTTAATTTGATCAATACAGTACAGTATAAAAGAGATGAAGAATATAGATCAAATAAAGTGATTTTTTAATTTTACCTAAAGAAGAAAGTTCTGGCACTGGAAACTACCATTTAATGATTCTCTTTCTTCTTGTTTTTGAATAAAGCTAACTCAAATTCCTCCTGCAAATATACATAAAAACATACCATGTTAAGAAAAACCATACATAGTCTAGACTCTAGAAATATTTCATAAACACGGGATATACAGATTTTAAGGAAAACACGCACAAAACCCAGGAAAATTCAATTATAAACCTCAAAATTTTCAAATACCCACAAAATTCATTAAGCAAACCATTAATTCCACTGTTCAATGGAGAGGAAAGCTCAGAAGTTGCTTCAATGGAGGATCAGAGAGAGCTCGGAAGTGAAGAAACATCAAATTCCCTGGCCATTTGTACAAATTAATTCAACATAAGAACACAAAATTAACAAAATTCCAAAACGAAATTAACAATAACAATGCAAAATAAAACCCTTACTTCCGCATTACGACCGCCTGAGGTTTCACTGCTGCTGCTCGCCTGCTCCATTTTAACGATGTAAACTATGCCCAGAGAAATGTAAAATGGAGGGTGGAGAGAGAAAATGGAGAGAATTGAATTTGAGAAAATTAATTAAGAAGATTAACCAAAAACACATAGCATAAAAAAGAAAAAGAGGATTTCTATGAAAATTAAAGCTATACATACCCTAGATTGTGAAATTGATGCTAGATGATTATAAAAAGGATAAACATCTTACCTGAAGAAGCTGCTTTAATGGATGAGATTAAGCTCAGAGCACGCAGCAAGCCTTCAATGGAGAGCGAGGAAAAAGAAAGGACGAAAAGGAGAAGAAAAGCCTGGACAGATTTTCACATGCAAAGGGTATATATGGCAAACCATTAAAATTAGGGGCAACAAAGTAATAGCGCCATATTTACTATTCATAAGGAAATTACTGTAGCTAAGCTACAGTAATTGAATTGCATTTTTAAAGGTTATAGATTTAGTTTTAGATTTAGGTTTGGCCTTTGGAGAATCTCTAATACGGTGTACAATTCGAAATACGCGTAAAGCTAAAAAGCATCGCATTAACCTAGTTTTAAAAAAAAATTCAATCCAAATGACTAATTCGGCTTTGATGGAATTAAACTTTGGATATATTCCAAATAACTTTCAACCCTATATAGTTACGGCCTTGTTTGGTAAATAGATTTTTGAAAAACTTTTAGCTTATTATACCTTATTATATGTTTGACTATTTAAAAAACTAATTTGGGTGTTTGATAAATAGTTTATTAAAAGAGCTAAAAAAACTCATTATAAAATCTTTTTGAAATGTGCTTATTGAACAATTAGTTTTTTGGCTATTAAATACACTAAAACAACTAACAATTAACAATTATTTACTTCTATTAAAAAAAAAACAACTATTTACTTCTTCCAAAAAAATAAAATAAAATAATTTACCAAACACTTTTATACAATAAGCTATTTAGAACTGACTCGTCAAATCAATTAATACAACCAGCTATGTCAATTGGCTACCAACTAATTACCAAATAAGACCTATATTTCCCATAACCCTTTTCTGATACTCAGCGCAAGTCAATATTGTTCAACAAATTTATTATTTAAAAGTATATAGAATAGTAATGATACGTACTCTTACTCTCTATTTTTTTTTTTTTTTTTTTACAAAAATTCCCCCAGTCCTTGAGCAATTGGCCCATTGCAAATTTCGGGTTAAATATTAAAATCTTTGACCATTATAATTCATATTCCGTATAAACTTTTATAATTTTTTATGCATATGAAGGTAGAATTTTTTCAATTTAAGATGCATATTGAAAACTAGAAAAAGTATAGATCTTTGGCCTTTTATCTTGTTATCAACCCTTTGAAACATGTACATGAGCATACTGGTAAACTAGTTTTTTACTTAAATTCAAACCTAATCCATATGATACATCTCAATGTACAATTTCAACAGTTTATAATACAGCAGGCTGTTGAGGTCAGCTTAAAAAGTTGCAATCACCATACAATTCAACAGAAGTTGTATGCACAACAATGAATTGTACCTAACACCCAGGTTTTTTGGTTGTTGTAAAATGCATATCAGAAAACTTAACGCTAAACGTGCAAAATCTAAAAACAAAAAAAGCAAAAAAACCATTACATTGTCTTTTAATATCTCTTTGATAAAAATTTGAGTTTACCAGTAAGATTCGAAAAAGTTAACAATCTGTAGACATTTTAAAGCTATATGCAGTAAAAAAAAAAAGAAAAAAAAAAACAGAGAAATCCCTAAGCAGAGAGGGAAGTTTTTTCCTATCCAAGCAAAGGACCAAGAAACTAAACGGATCTATTTATTGAATATACATGTGATCAATCACCTCTCCTCCAAAATCACCCCCAACCAATGCACCTAAATCTGAAAGGAAAACAAAAAAACTACCTATTGTCACAGTCCAATGGGAAAACGGAGGAATTTCATCATCACAATCTATCGTACACAGCAACTCAGATTTTGAATAACTGCCATTCTTCCAAGTACAATTAATAAACGGCATGTCACATGTAAACCCAGCTGCCAATGACCAGATAACTGAATAAATAAAGCATAATTTCCTGGTCATCGGCGTTGTTGCATTTTGCGCATCCTGGCTTTTTTTCTCAACATTTCCTGTCTTTCTTCTTCCTGAATCTTTATAAGTTCTTCATCATCTTCTTGTTTAGCTATCCTGGCACTGCAATTCATATGAATAAGATAACAAGAATGGTTAGTACCAAAATTTGACAAAATGATTAGTTTAGACTAAAGAGGATACATAAACTAAATGGCTAAATTATATCTACTGGCATAACTAGACTTATTACCATCAGAATTTAACTTCTTGGCACTTAACAAGACTTATTCCCATCAGAATTTAACTAGGACTTATTCCCATCAGATTCTAAAGCAAATTAAGGGTGCATTTTATTCAACAGAATTAAACTTCTTGGCACTTAAACTGAATTTTTTTTAGTCACTAAAATTAAAAAAACTAGTCTTTTGGATATATTTCCTACAAATATATAAAAATATAATTAAAAATGATGTACAGAATAGTCTTAACTGACCTCTTTCTTTCCTCGGCCATTATAGTGTCAAAGTCAGTGACTTCCATATCACTGCCAGCATCGTCATCGTCATAATATTGTGTGGGTTGCCTGAACAAGAATCACAGGATAAGACAACATACTCACAAATACACAGCCAATAAATGAGTGATTATAATACATTTATTATTCGGAAAAAGTAAATAGCATTCTAAACAGCATCCGGACTTCTGTGCCTCACCACTCTGTATGCAGACCCCCAACCCATACAACAAACAAACAAGTGGCAACAAACAAACACATCCATACAACATATATTGCCTGTTCAATGACAGTAGTTAAGAAAACATTCTCAAAATAGCATCACAAGAAATATAATAGAGGAGCATATATCAGTCAAAATTCAATCTTTATAACAAAGCCACGACTTTAACAAGAGCTAAAACAGTTAAAAAGAAAAGTAGAACCGTAGAATGGAGATAAACTTTACCTAAACATCTTCCTAATTACAGATCTATAGTCCATCTCCTCATCATCTGAGTCTGGAGCCTTACGTTTTTTAATCCTGTGGTCTTTATTTAGACCAGCAGAAGAATTTTGTAACTGTCCAGCTGGATTTTGCTTGTTAATGTGGTGTCCTTTTACCCCATTACACTGAAGAGACCCATGCCTCATCTGCGGCTTCACCATCTGAAAATTTATAGCAGAGCTAATCAAACATAAAAGATTCTGCAAGGAAATTTTACAAATTCATGTTCTTGCAACATGATGAACTCAAACAATTATAGCATGGAATAGGCAAGCACACACCTGTCTTGAAGCTTCAACAGAATCTTTCTTCAACATTCTGTTCTCAGTACTTCGCTGAACATCCCTATTATGATTCAAACGATTATTTACACCAGAAGACTGTGGTTTTCCCATTGGCTGCCTTTGCCGATCAAGAGTACTAGTCTTTGCAACAACAGAAGCCTTATTCGCTAATGGAGCAGCAGATGGCCTTCTCTCCATGGAGCTAATTGGCAACTTCCTGTCACTAGAAGACAAAGGCTTCCTTGGGGCCAAGACTTTCTGAACAGCAGGTCTAGACCCACTTCCACTACTGCTGCCTGCCTGCTGATTTGGTTGGGTCTGCTTTCTCAAATCCAACTGCCTACGGGAATCACAGGGAAGACTTGCCCTATTACCAGAGGTTGACCTCTGAGGCGGTGCTCTACGGGAATCATGGATTTGGGAGGTCCCAGAAGAAGGCTTCCGTTGTTCATACCCATCATTTCCTTTTTTCCCAGAATATGAACAAGATTCGTTTCTCTGTGCCCAAACTTCAGCTGATCTGGAATCTTTAAGGCCTGCAAAACCCACAACTGTTGATTATAGCATGATATAGCATTAAATATTAGACTAAGTTATGCAAACAAGAAAGCGTAATCTATCAAATAAAAAAGAACAAACCATTCTTTGGAGCTAAACTCTTTTGTGGACCAGAATTATTAGCTGGCTTAGGGATCTCTGCATCATCTGACAATAGAAAAGAATAGTCTCTAGTTTGTTTGATTATCTGTGCTTTTGATTTAACCTGGGCAATTTAAATCGAGTCAGCAACAAATTTATTATTGAACCTGCTATAAGCAATTTAAAACATGCATTCAGCAAGGAGTCTCAACCTGTCTTGGAAGAGGAGTATTGCTTAGTCCATTTTTTGAAGTTGTGGTGGATGATGTGCTAACCTTTCTAGCCTGCATTTGAGTAAGAAACATCGATTAATAAAGAATTCTGGGAAGGGCATTGACAAATGCAATTATATTCACTTAGTCAAAACAACAGCATTCCTCAAGCGCAAGAAAGTTCTGATATAAGAACGACACCTATTACTCTGAATTCAATTAAATATATTGTCACATTAATAATGATATTGTGCAACACTAATGCACTTATGAAACCTCAAAGGTTGAAAACCAGAAACTATATTAGCTGGGAACAGGCAACAAGCAACCACATTCAAGGTTAAGATGGACATATGGGGTACATTCCTAAGTAAAGGACACACCTGGCAACAGGTGAAAAAACATTCCAGAGCCCTTATCCTAGCTGATTATTCCCACATATTTTAGAGTAAAAGAGAATCAAGAAGAAAAGTTACAGCAGAGTAATGCATTGAATTCAGAGAGAATGAATTATTAGGACAATCAACTAGAAACATCACAAAATGTACAGGGAGAATTTTTAAATTTAATATAATTGGAGAATTTTAGGTGGTTGTGTAATATAGAGTATTAAGATTTAATGGCAGAAGAGGGTTCAAAGAGGATTGGAAGTATGAAACCATTAGACTAGCCATTTAATAGTATTATATTTTGATTAATTCCTCTACCTTATCAATTCCTTAATTTTACCATAATTGATAAAAAGTTGATACTAAAAACAGCATAATATTATCATACTGTGTCCAGGAGGTGTCCCAGTCATGTCTTGTGCCATATACAAGTGCTTGCTGGACATACAAAGCCACCGTAGAATGAATCAGTTCATAACCAGACCACAGTTTAACATCGAAAGGTTCAGCTTCAGGATACAAGTTGATCATCCTGACGCTCAAGCACACACTACACAAAAACATAATATAGCAGCAACTTACGTTGACAAAATACACATACATCATTTTGAGAAGTAGATACTTTAGGTGTCAAATGCCGAGTCTCCAACAAGGATTTTCTTTCTTGGATAACTCTATCAGCAATCACTGGCTTAGAAGGACCAAAAAAGGATCCAAAACTGCAATTAAAACAAAAGAACAAAATCTAATTAGGAGATCGGCGAATTCAAACAATTTACATCACAACCAATACAATGCACAAAGCAAAATAAAAGTTTCACAGCAATGCATACTTCATCAACTTCGAGCTGTTAACACTGACACCATTCTTGCCATTCTCCCTCCTCAAATTGGATCTGTGTTTTGCTTTCAATTTTTCTCTAAGTTCCAGGTATTTAATTGCCTCTGCTGACAAAGGTTTTTCCTCCTCCTCTTCTTCTTCCTCATCCTCGTATCCATCCTCTTCAGCAACTTCATAATCATCTTGTTCTACAAAATCATCCTCATATTCATCCAAATCCTCGCCCATCTATTTCACATTTTAAAAAAACAATTACAATCAACAATTAATTAGCACTTAAACATTCAGCATACGAGTCCATACAATCAATTACAGTATACTTTGTTTAATCAGAATTTAATAGAGACTCACTCGATAACGCTGCTGCATCATCGTCAACCTCTAACTACTTTTTATGACGGCAAATAATCCTGAAAAAATCAAATCCATTGTAACATTAGCAAGATCACAATCAGCTCCAGAATCAATCTTTGCTTCAAATATCTAATTAGACTGAATAAATCAGAACCCTAATTTTTAAACAAAATCACCTACTCTGTTGATTTCAATAGTTTTTTTTTTTTTTTTTTTAGAGATATCAACTTGATTTAACTGAAATATTAATATTAAAAACCAAAACTGATTTTCTGGACGAATTTAATCGATAACAATCAATTTCATCAAAACCAAAATCTTTAAAAAAAACACACACACACACACAAGTATCAATTAATTTTTTTAATTTTAAATCACAAATTCACCTCTCAAATCACAAAATACACAATGAATCCCAATAAAAAAACAAACAATAATACACCAAAAAAATCGCAAAAAAAATCAAAACAAAAAACAAAATAACCACATTGAAGAAATCGAACCCTAACTAAACGAAATCACCTACCCAGTCGATTTCAATCAAATTACAAATTTTTCTTGATTCAATCAATAAATCAAGATTAAAAATAACACTGATTGAAAAAAAGATTTCATCAACAAATTTACTCAATAATAATCAATTTCATCAAAATCAAAACTTAAAAAAAATAAAAAAAATAAAAAAAAATAAAAAATAAAAAAACCCAAAATTTTTAATGAATACAAGTTTTGGTTAAAAACCCACAAAATCACCTCCACAATCACAAAAAATAAATCAATCCCAATCAAAAAAATCAAACAATCACAGATCGAAAACCATACCTTAAAGAAAACGCAGAGAATAACAAAAAATCGCCAAATCGAAAGAAAATCGACCTAAATCCTCTGTCTTCGATTGAAAGAAAGGAAGCTTGGAATAATAACGAGAAGCCTGAAAAAGGGTTTATACAAAGAGAGGTAGTCGGTTGTAATGAGGTAGGGATCGAACGGCTGATCTTGGGTTATAATTTATCACCTCCGTTATTTTCCACTTTTCTTTTATTTTTATTTTCCTTAATAATAATAATAAAATTAAATTAACTAATTTAATTAAAATTATTGAGTTAGCCTTTTTAATATTCCAAATTCTAGTATTTCCCATTGTTATTGTTCGTTGTTCGTGAATTGTGAATCTTCTTCTGGTATGAATTACGGTTACGCTTATAATTTTTTTCATTGTGGTATTACAGATTATACGAGAGATTTCACCACAATTAATATCGTGGTTTCAGAATTTTTATTTTCATTTTTATTAATTTTTTTTTGTGTGGTTGATATTGAAGGTGTCTTTATTTAGTACATGTGGAAGGATATTATTTGTTGAGTGGTTGACTTGGTATTTTACGCAATTTTCTCGAAGGTTCTATTTTTGGAGACGGAAGAGGAGAGATTATAGGAATTTGTTTAGTATGTTCTCGAGAGTTCCGGAGTATTTTGGTTATTTTGAGATTGTTTAGATTAATTTGGAAAATTTTGGGCTTTTGTTTTAGGTATAATTGATTGAGGGTGAGAATGAATTGAGATGTATGAGATGAATTTTAGTATGTTATTGTAGATGCACCGACAATTCTATGCATTTTTTAAATTTATGCTTGTATCGGAACTCCTAATGTGTAACTTTTAAGAGTACTTTTCTCTTCCTTTTCTTAAGACTCCACATGATATCATCATCTTGCATCTTAAGACAAGACTCTTTGTTTGATCCCATTTTTCTTGAGAAATCTAAGCTAAGTCTCAAGTTGAGTCTTGAAAATTCAAGACTCAATTTAAGACTTGATTGTGGACCGTACTTTATTTTTTATTGTTATTAAGTGTAAAAAATAAATATAATAATATATGATATGAGAAGACTTAAGTGAGTTATCATGATTTAATCATTTTTAAGACTAGATTTCTCATATCATATATTATTAAGGTATTGACAAGTGTCATAAAAGAATTTGCTTTCAATATAGGTTAATACATAGATAAATAGAATCCCATGTCACAAAAAAAAAATAAACATATATATATATATATTAATCACCGAATATATGATGGGTAAGAGCTAAATGAGGTCATGATACTTTTGCCACATTTATGATCAAAATTAGACGAAGTAAATTTTACCTTTGATTGCATCAATCAAGCATAATACGGAGAACAAGGAAAGTTGCTTCCATAACCGGATTCACCATCATTATCATGACTAATTTGAGTGATATAGGGGAAGACATGATGACCTAAGAATCTACTAGTATATTAATCTACTCTGATAAAGGCAAAAGAACATGTTAATTGGAGAATATCTTTCCACTTTTAATACAAATACAAAAGCATACAAGTCCCAAAAATAGCTAATGTATGAGTTTAAAAACCTTCCTCTATTACGAATATAAGGAAAAAAAAATGTAAAAAAAATACTCCGTAATATATTTTCCACATACTCCATAGTCTGCATACCTTATGTAGTGTAGAGAGTTAGAAACAAGTGTACATGGATTTTAGCACATCAATTGCTAAAAGCTATTCGCTACCACTAGTTTTGACAAATGGAGCAAATATATAAAATCAGTGAGCTGATCCAAGATCAGTAAATTTTTTGCATGGCCCAATATTACACCACCATTAATGAATCAAAATTTGGTAACCATGGTTGTATATCACCAGCTAGCTATCTGCTCACACTCTCATGAAAGTGACAGGAGAACTTGAAAGTGGAAGGAGGGAGAATGGAGTCACTGATATATGCTAATAACTTGTACTCCATACTACGAATTACTCCGTACTATTTACCTAATATTCGAAAATCTTCATCTTCTGCATACAAGAAATGAAGGGAACAAAACAACTGGTACATTGCTAAAGATTTCGCTGCCTAAAATCTACTATGTATCAATTAACAACAGCACACAATACTTAAATGACTAGCCGCATACCAACACAAACACAAATATCACATTCTTCTCTATTATATTACCAAACCTGTCACTGCAATGCACGAGCTTCTTCAAAATCTGTCCCCATTTTTCAGTAGAATGAGAAACAGGTCTTTAGTTCTACCCACGAAGGGCTAGGTACCAAACAAATCTCAACCATTTATGTGACAAATCACTTATATGATTCTTCTAAGCAATACTCTCGGTAATTATTTCGCATCACAACTTCAAGCCTGGGACTTTTGGGATCCAGGAGGCAAGAAGGTTTCCCACCAGCCATATTCATACTTTGTATATGGGGCCACCCACTTCTCTGGCTTCTCAAACTCCAATTTTGTCGGATTTGAGGCCAGCGCTTCTTCTATGCTGTCAGCTTCATAGCTTTCTGCTAAAACGCGATCCAATCTCAGTTTCATGTACCTGCCAAGACATATTGTGGTTACTCAAATGAGACTGAGTTCTGAAAAGATAATACAAAGAAGAAAAGCATATGCAAGTATAATTTGGAATTGGTAGCATTTCAAGCATTACTGTCAAAAGACTTGGACTGGCAGATAATGGTTGGGTTCAATAGCCAAGGAAGTTCCGATTTATGACTCTTAACTGCAAATGGGAAAGTAAATGGTACTCTGAACCATCGTACAGCAGAATGTTCAAAAGTACTCGTAATTCTTTTCAGACATCAACATGGGGTATAAAGATTGCAATTCTTTTAACATAACCTCATCAATGCAATAAATCCGAAAAGCTATCTTGAAGGAGCTTGTGGATTTTGGCATTCCGAGAGGAAAAGAAATTACACAGTAATTTTTAAAAGGCTTCAATCAACAATACTGTGTATTAGATTACTATTTGTAATTCACTTCCTCAGCCACATGCATCTTAATTTCTCTCATTGTCCACAACCTTCTTCTTCCTGTAGGCTAAGCTTACAAGAATTGCTTGTACATATACGAGTATCTTCCTAAAATAAAAAGTATTCCCACACACAAGAAAAATCATACATACACAAATCTAAATCGATCCTTATCACAGTAAGAATTAATCCAATGGTATGTCTCACATACATGTCATGCTATTTTTCCAAGCATCCAAAAGAACTACATGAGCTCTAGACACTATTCTTTTCAAAAGGTTAATGCTACTGCTGTCAAATACGAAGTTCATTGCACTACCTATGTATTAAACATCACATTAAATCACGCATACCAAGGCACAAGGCAATACCCAAACTTGAAAAATTAAACCACTAAGAACAAGTAAAAGATTATGATTTTGACTAATAAGGAGTGTAAAGAAAAAATAAACATCAGTGAAGTGCCCCTTACGTGATCCATGGGCCATTTGTTGAAACCAAAGCCACAGCAGGTCTCTTCAATCTCTTGGTGATATTAGGGAATTTCTCCAGGAACTTTGGTTCAATAACAAGCCAAAAATCCTGCTCTATGTTGCGTTCTCCGAACATGCGAAGCCTTTCATACATAAGCTCTCTGAAATGTTCCTCTTCGTCAAGCATGAATTTTGCATTTGCAACCACAAAATAATACTTCTTAGTCGTTTGATCCTGCATCGTAAGAGATAATTGTGATTGGATCAGGCAAGCTAATGCAGTTAATCATCACTAAAAAGTGCTTGAAAACATGTCTCAAGTTGCAAAGAACCCAAATCTCCAACTCAGCACAAAAAGGACTAAGGTACAGAATACATACAACTGCAGCAACATGTGACAATTATTACTACCTATCATGGGAAAAATGATGCTTTAAACGATCATTTTGAACATTATAGAGGAAGGAAGCAGCTCAAAATGCAAAGTAACACTTTTCACTCTCTTCTCAATGTGCACAAATCTCAGCTCATAATCATAACCGGCTTTGAGAAACATAAGCCAAAACTAAAAGTGCATAAAGGGAACAATGACCCATGACAGCAGAATACTAAAACACAAACTATAACTTGGCACTTAAAAGTTTGACTGTTTCGTTTAATTCATTGAAGGGGGATTTTTTACATGTTTGATTTTCTAGTACCCTCCAAGCAAAATTATCTACTATGTGTTTGTTAGCTAAAGAACTGCTAAATCTCCAATTTCCCATGAACACTTGCCAAAATAATTGGGACGAATCACCCTCTCATAGTCTCATACTATGAGAATTGTAATAATTAGTTAGCTAATCATAACAGTTCTCATACATACACCTAACAAAACATCCCTCCTATTGTACATGAGAAGACCCTTTCCAAAAATCAGCTACTACATAAGTTATTGATCAAAACTATTGTTTGTTAATTCGGATGCCAAGTCAATCATCTTAACATACACTCCAAACATATCAAGATTTGCAATAGATATCTGCCAACTAGGGCCATATATAGACATATAGACATATATTAGTATATAGTACAAATTGTATGATTTTCAAAACTAACTATAAACTTTATATTTTCAGAAAGGAGAAATGCAAATTACAGTAGTAGAATGCAAATTCAACCATTTTACGAAGTATTATTTTGAATCCACTACGAAACTGCTTCTTGATACACGCCCACATGTGCATATCAAGGTTATCAACTTGGAGTTTCCCCAAATATATATTCATTAGATTTCAATATTCATTTAAGCTAACAAATAACAAGCATTCTTCAAATAAATGGGGAAGTAAAATTGAGCTTCATATTACAAGACTACAACCACATTTGTTTTGGAATTGAGCTTCTTGCATGATACAACCACTTATTATTATAAGCAGGATTCTAATCAGGACTTTAAACAAAGTACTCAGCAATCTTAATAATCTTTAATTTTTTTAAAAATAAGCAATGAAATTTACTCTTATAACTTAATAAACTCAATATCCCAAAATTGGAGGGAGGCGAAATTATACCTGCTCAGAAGAAGAGCTAGGCTGGCTGGTATCTGCGGCGACGGCAACAGCAGGAGTTCTGAGGGAGGAGGAAGGAGCAATGCCAGCACCAATGGATAAAGAGGAGAGAGAAACAGATTGTGAAGAATTGTTTCTACTGCTTGGCAAAAGGAACAAGGGTTTATTGTAAGATTGCTGGGTATGAACAAGGGTACCACCCATTATTGCTGCTGAATTCATTGTTACACAGTTGCTTGCCAGAACTACCATATTTGCTGATCTAAGTCACTTGCATAAACCAAAACCTGAAAATTCCTACAAATTTAATCAAAAATTTTAATCGATTACATGAAAATTGAATTGAGAAAAAACAATTGGGAATTTGGTTGGTAGAAGGAAGAATACATACCTTTGAAGATAATTGATTGGGGTTTTGAGTTGTAGTTTGACTAAAACAAGTTTATGTGTTTTTGGTTGAGTTTGTGTAAGTGTAGTGTAATCTCTCTTCAACTGGACATCACATCTTATCCTGGTTTTCTTATCATTTACTCGTTATCCTTGTTATGGGTATTCGACGGAGAAAAAAAATAAATAAATTTAACAAAATACTCCCTCCGTTATAGAATACATGAGACGTTGGACTGTTTTCACTATTCATGTATTAGGTATGACCATAATTTTTTACTAACATAATAAAAACATAAATTATCATAAAATATGTTAGATAGTTATTAATATAAAGTTTCATAATATAATTTTTAAAATAATTTTCATTAATATTTAATTATATAAAAATAAAGTCAAACTAGTGCATTGACATGTGTTCAATGTTGACTGTCACTAGTGGAAAAAACGCTATTAGCAACTGGCGAAAAGTGGCTTTTAGCAATTGGCGCGTGCGGCTGCTATTGCGGGGGCTACTAATGAGAATATTATTTGCAACTGGCGCTTGTTCATTGCTAATAATCATTATTCACATCTGGCATGTGAAATGACCTGTTGCAATTACTCCTCATTTTAGCAGTAAAAATGAATTATTCGCAACTGGCATTGTTTTAGCCCGTTACTAATAATTATTATTTGCAACTGACATTAAGCTAGGCCAGTTGTGAATACTGTTTTTTCAATGTAAAAAGGTTTTATTTGCAATTGGCCTAGTCTTTGGCCCGTTGTTAATAATGATTATTTGCAGCTGACATTCAACTAATTGACAGGTGGCTGTTGACAGGCTAAAGTCGTATCACCTAATTAAAAGAATTACCTAAATCCTCTAACTAAAGTAGATAGGGAAGTAGGGTCGAATCCATAGGGAAACAAGTCTTTATATTCCTAAATAATTAATATAATCTAAACTATTAAGTAGCAAATTATTTTTATAGGAATTGAACTAAGGAGAATGATTAAACTAAAACAAATTGAATAAGGGAGGAAATCAATAAATCAAAGCTTAAGGTATAGGTTCACCAATAAATAATATTCCAGGGTAAAACACAACAATCACTTATCAATGCATCAATTAATCAGATCATAAAGGGCTTTCACTACGTATTACAATCATATAATTAATCTACCGGTATTAAATCGCATCTCTCGAATCTTGACTTAACCATTTATAAATTAACCTGCGTATTGAAACTAAGCCTAAACACCAATTCTCGTCTCTCGAATCAATATTGCATAACTCATACAATTAAATCAAGCCTAATATAATTGCATAGCATTAAATCAATCAATAGAAAATCAACCAAAGCATTGACAGTCACCAATATTTAATTACCCCTTCATATTATTTATGGATTCCCATAACCCTAGAAATAAAACTACTCACACATATTTAAATCTAAACTAAGCAAAGCAAATAAACAAGACATAATTAATCAAAACAATTAATTACTAAAAATAAAAGGGGAAGAAATCGTGACCAAAATAAACGGAAATAATGAATTGCATAAATTAAAAGTGTGTAGAGAGAACAATAGTAATAATCCAAAGCTTAAAGCTAAATCTAAGAAATTAACTCCAGAAAGACGTAATCGTCACTTGCTTAGAAAAGCGTATTTATACTTAAGCTAGAAATCCTAAACTTAAACGAAGATTAAAAGTCGCAAAACACCCCTCAAAAACACGCGCCCGGTCGGGCGGATGCTCGCCCGGCCCGCCTCCGACATCTTCCTCTTTCAGGGCGAAGTGCTAATACATCCTATCTGCTTCGCCCGGCCGGGCGCGCCTAAGGGCAAGGGCACTCCCCGGTCAGGCGAGTAATCGAGCAACATGGACTTTCGATTTAGGCTATTTTCTTGGCCCAAATCCGGATTTCCTCTTTGGGTCTTTAATACTCAGTTCAATGCCTCGAACTCTTTTTCTTCACCGAGCCCTTAATCAACAGTTTGATTGCTCCAACGCGGCCTTGGGCTTCGGAATGTGGTCATATGAATGCGATCCTACTCCAATGCTCGTAGTGGCTCAAATAAATCTGGGAAAATGCTCCAAATCCGCAATTTCCTATAAAATAATACCAAAACTACAAAAACACTAGAAAACGCATATTAGTAATAAAAGTGACTCCAAAGAGCCAAAAATACTCCTAAAATGACCAAGGGATAGGGGTAAATCACTATATAAAATGAACATATCAGCTGTTACGAGCAGCAGGAATGGATTCACGACAAGAAATCAAACAGATGAACCCCGAGCTTCTTGTTAATCAAACCAGCCTGAAAGTAAAGGCAACAAAACACACGAAAAATTGTATTTAAAGGCAAAAATAGACCCAAAAGTAAAATAAACAAATTTAGTTTCAATTAAAATTGATATCAAAAATGCAAATATAATCTGATTGTTCCCCTTGAGCTGGGATCTTGGGGGGTAATTCTCACTAAATTTATACATTCAAGCACACAAACAAACAAATAAAGGTTTAGGTCTTGTTAAACCTTAGCCTAAAACAATATTTTGCTAGTTTTTGGGTCTTGCTAAAGTGCCCAAATATATTGCTTCTGATGGTTCTCAAATTAGGTCATTGGCATTATTTCCTACTTGCTCTACCAAGGTCCAAAAGCACAACTTGAAACAAAATCCGAACTTATACGAATTGAGAAACATATTAGGGAGGAAAATAGAGATGGAGACAAATATATCTCTAAACTCTAGCTTTGTAAGTGCATATTAAGCTGTCCATACCCCTAGATTGCCCAGAAAAGGTCCCAGAAAAAACAGGTCACTGATCAATATATAAATATTATTGAAGATGAGCCTTCCTATATCTGATCTTGGCTTCACTTTACTCCACAATATAGAGATCAGCCAGTAAGAAAGCCAACTAAATAATTACGGAGAAAAAAACAATCTCATTTCAAAATTAGAAGGAAAAGAAATCAACTTTACTTGTCATGATGGCAGGATATACAAAAAAGTTGCAACATAGGCAGTTGGTATGCCAGATAAATTCTCACTAAATTTATACATTACTGTACCTTCATATGCACTATATTACATTACTCCCTAGCGAAGACAGAATACGCTAAGTAATTCAATCTAAAAGGAATTCAATCAATGGCTCCATAAACAACTACTGCACTCTGTAGTCTGTAATCTCAAATTGTAGATAGTTTCAGGGATGTGCTCAGGATTGTATACTTATAATACATATCAATACCCAAATGCCCCTACTTATATATTACATGTTCTTATCATTATTTGTCAAGGTCTACAAGGCTATAGCAATCTTTAAAGTGGGATTTAGTTCTGCATAATGTGTTTTAGAAACCATAAAAAAGAAAGAACATTTATAAAACATAACTAAAATCCTAATAATAATATAAGTGGGGAAGAGTTTCAGTACATAAAAGGATTCGAAAGGTGACCTTTTCAACATTCGTTCTTGTTTTTGCAGAGCGTTTATACAACTCTTCTTTAACAGCAAGCTGTCCCTTCAATTTTTTATCTTGCAAAACCTGCAATGATAATGAAAATAGATTCAACATGGAATGAATCAGAGAGAATTTTCACGACTCAAGCCGAAATATTCACCATACGAAGCTACAGTAAATTGATAAAAAAAAATCAGAAGCCAAGCAAATTGATATTAACTCCAAACAAAATAAACAAATTTAGTTTCAATTAAAATAATTAAAACCTAGAACAAGCAAGAAGCAGCAAATTCACGAAAAAATTAACCCAAAAATGACTTTTTTTTTTGCTTTGATGACTCGTTTTTTTTATTGCAGCAAACTCACGAAATTGACAGTCATGATTACTAACCCAAAAATGGAAATAATGAAAATTCAATCAAAAGCAATCCCTAGATTGTGAAATTGACAGTCGATGATTTTAAAGAAGAAAAAAAAAAGCAGAATTACCTAGGTTGTGAAATTGATACTCGGTGAATTCAGAAATGACAGAAGAAGAGGAGAGGATTCAATGGAGGATTCAGAATAAGACTTCAATGGAGAGGAGAAGAGAAAGAGACGTCGCCATTTGCATGCATCACAGAGGTGGCCGCTGCGAGCAGTAGAAATGGAATCACGGCAATAAATCAAACTGATGAATACTAAATTCATGAAAACCTATCTAGTTTTATGCAAAATTTCATGAAAACCCCTATTTAGAACCGTAATTAGAAATACTTCTAAAAATTATAAAATTACCTGAACGAATTGAACAATCCCCAAATCTGTCGGAAATTCCAATGTCGTCACAAATCGGGTTCTTTGTGAGGAAACCCAAAAATTGAACAAAAACTCGGAAATGGAGGAGAATCGGGGTTCTTTGTGAGGAAAACGCAGAATTAGAACAAAACGCAAAACTGGGTTCTTTGTAGGGCTGAGCGAAAATGGAGAAGATATTCAGCGAAAATGTTCAGCAGAAAATGGAGAATACGAAGATTTTAGGAGAGAGAAGGCGGGTTAATAAAATTGGAAGGAACTTTTTTTTAGCAGCTTGCATTACAATTTTAGCTACAATTAAATTGGTCAAATTTTTGGTTGACCTAGTATTTTTAGCGGGCATTTCATAGGTCAGTTGCGATTGATTATTCTTTTATTTAATTAATTATTATTAGCAGCCTTCATTGAAGCGCCAGCTGCGAATGTTGTATTATTTGCAACTGGCGTTGTAGAGGCCAATTGCTAATATAAATTTTAATTTTTAAACTCCAAGTATTAGCAAAGTACATTATTGGGCCAGTTGCTAATGACATAGTATTTGTAATTGACATTAGTTTAGCCAGTTGCAATTAAGGTTTTAGTAGCTTACGTATTTAACGCCAGTTGCTAATGGGGGGCAGCTAATAGCAATTTTTCCACTAGTGTGTGTCATGTATTCTGGGACAGAGTGAGTACACTCCTCTAATATTTTCAGTTTCGTAATAATCACAACACTTTTCTTTTACGTGGGTTCATAATAATTGCAACGCTTTTCTTTTACATGGGTTCATAATAAATGCAATACTTTCTTATTTGTTAAGTACCCACTATTATTTATTATTTCTCTCTCATACCACCCCACTTAGTGCTTCCTCTATTTTCTTTTATATGCAACACACAACCTCGACACACTTTTTTAGGAGTCTATTAGAGTAGATAAATGGCCGACTTTATCAAATTAATTTGAACACGAAGATTACAGAAAGGTTAGGCGCTACGTATATAAATTCTTTTGAATACTTTGTTCATTTACCTTGCTTAAGTTCTTTCACAAAGTGTGCCATAGAGGTGTATTGCATTTAATATATCACAAAGTTTCATACGTAGACTAGCGACACCTAATTATTCAAGGGTTACTCGGTCAGGGGTTACTCGGTTGGTCAGGGGTTACTTGATCGGTCATGGGTTAATCGATCAGTCATGGGTTATCCGATCGATGTTTTAGTGTGTGTTAGCCATCCACACAGAAAACGCATTGTTAAAATAAAATAGAGTAATTATTAGTTTTTTTTTTAAATAATAGAAAATACTTTCATTTAGAAAATTAAATATTTATCAATTAAAGAGATTTAAGATAGTCAATTTTGTGTTTACTCAATAAATATTTTATACATTTAAAAAAAAAAATCAAATTAGGATATAATCTTAATTTTACCATTTTTTGTAAGTGTAAATATCTTCCTTCTATGTTAGGCATCTTTAATTTCCAAATAAATATTGTTTTATTTTTATTTCCTTACCCAACACAAACCCACATGTCTCACATGCATTGTACAGTCATCATCTTTGACCAGCACATTAGACCAAGGAATTTTTGTATTGTCTAATATGGTTTTGGCCCTTTCAATTAATTATATATACTCTCTCCCACTTTCAAATGTAACGATATCTTTATCACAAACACCCATATCCATACAACAAAAAACCCATGGAAATGGAGAAAACGTACTTGTTCCTATCGCTTTTGGCAATCATAATCTTCCTTTACAAAATCCTTTTACCCTCTAAAGCAAAGAACAAGAACCTCCCACCAATTCCACCATCAATTCCTATATGGGGCCACCTACACCTACTCAAGCCCCCCTTCCATAAGACATTTCTACCAATTGAAAGTTTAATAGGCTATTATAAGGGGGGGGGGGTGAATTGTAGAAGTAGTGAAATTTAGAACTTTTTGCAGAATTAAAACTAAGTAGAACAGTAAAGAGAGATGATATAGGCTTTTATAATTTTCCACTATGTAAATAAACTCTTTTACAAGTGAAGAATAAAACCCGTAACAAGTTCCACAAGATTGGAACTTGTTCCCAACTCTCACAGAAATTTCGACTCTGAAATTTCCTTAACCTCACTGATTACAAATCTCACAATCCCAATCCCCAAATATCTTGATTACAAATTGCAATACAAGAACTAAGTACGCTCAAGAATATAAGAGAAAAATAAGAACTCTCTTCACGTTATTTTGTTTACTGGAATATTGAAGCTCAAGAGGTGTATTTTTCAGTGAATAAGTTCGTGGTTTATATAGGGAAGATTAATCCTCAACTTCCACCTTTTATGGTCCAATTTTCTCCTTGCATTTGGGCTGCCAGCACCTTTGGTTGTCTCTTCTCCATCGGTCGTCGAGGAATGCCTCAATAAAAACGACATCGTATTTTCTGACAAACCTAAGTTTATTGTTGGTAAGGTTTTAGGATACAACTTTTCGATCCTCCTTTGGTCTCCGTATGGGGACCATCGGAGGAATCTCCGACGTGTTGGTGTCTTAACTATGCTTTCCTTTCGTAAGCTTAATGAAGCAAGCCCCACTCGAAAAGCTGAGATCCATAACATAATCTTAGAGCTTCTGACCGAGTCTGAGGGTGGGACCCGAAAAGTGAACTTAACCAATATTTTTAATAAGGTGGCGCACAACTTTGTGATGTGGGTAGTAAATGGGAAGCCATGGGATAACATGGATTTGCCATCCCCTAGTTACATGACAATGTGTGATTTCTTTCCCATCTTGAGGTGGGTAGGTTTTGGAGGGATTGAGAAAAATTTGAAAAAGCTTTGGAAGAAGAGAGATGAGTATTTACAAAATTTAATTGATGAATGTAGAGAAAGTATTAAAAGAGGATCATCCTGTGATGAGGAAGACGTGACAAAAAATTTAATTGAACAATTGCTAGACTTGCAGGAAGCTGAACCTGATTGCTACACCGATGACTTTATCAAAAGTTTCATTTTGCTAAGATTACTCCCTTTGCCTCTAGAATTATAGTTTGTTAATTCCTCAAATTTTTAATTAATTGTGACAATTTATCTCTGATATATGTCAATGCATAAATTTAATTACCCAAATGAGTAATTTCATTAATTATGTGTTAATTTAAATGAAAAATTAAAAATATTATGCTGGAAAATATACAATAAGGCTATTTTCTATTCAAATTATTTAAGTTGATACTATTTATTTCAAGGATTATTCAAATCTCCTATCTGATTTGATCATATAAGATCTTATCTAACAAAATATCATCTACATTTATTTATTTTTAAATATAAGTAAATCATAACATATAATCAAAGGTTAAGTTCATAATTAATAACTAATAAATAAAACGGAAAATCATTATAAAACATTCATAATTTAGATTTAACAAAAATGCTAAAGGTCGCGATGTGTGATTAATATTAACAAAAATTATCATAAATTTTACGTGGCATTGTGATGTGGCGAATAAGAATAATATAGTGGCAAGTAAGAAAATAAAAATAAATAAAATGATAAAATTATTCTTTAGAAAACTAAAAACTCTTGAACATACTAGTATAGAATTATTTTAGGATTTAAAAAAAGTGAGAAAAGTTTTTATCCTAATATGCCTTAATTTTTATGGAAAATATAATGTAATTAATAAATGCAATATTCATTAGTATAGAAGAGATCTGACTATGTTGGTTGTTTTTAGTATCCCCTTATTATTATTGCTTAATTATGGTTCATCAATCATCATCATCACAAGTACAGTAGAGACAATAATGGCTCATCACAAGAAATAGACATGCATTAATGTAGTGTCAACAATGTGAGGGAAAGTGTAATTTTTGTTGGATTATATATAGACTTATTAATCAACAAATGTAAGTATTCCACATTGACTTTTTAAATAAATGAGAGAGTTAAAATTTTTATAAGACTTAGAAGGTACTTAATTTGTTGTCAAATGGTTTTGTGATGAAACCTTGACCGACAAAGTGAACTCTCTTCTACTAACAAGTGTGTATCTCATACTTCTAACATTAACATTAATTTATGTGATGATGTCTTGCTAGGAATTAATACGAAGTACTCCCTCCGTCCCTTATATTTTGCCCCATTGCAAAAATATGGGTCAAACTTTTAAAACTTTGACCATGAATTCTTGTTGATTTATAAGTGATAATATATTCACGTGGGATCTTGTTAGAATTGTCTCATTGTATAATTTATTATTATCAAATTTCTATAATTTTTACGCGTATAGAAATGGAGATATATGCGTTTGAAGACGTGTCTTGGAGACCGTAAAAAGTCAAATGGGGCAAAAAATAAGGGACAGAGGGAGTAAGAATTACTAGAATTTCCTTTTATTATAATAAATGGAGGGAGTGTTACTCATATAAGACATATGTTTATCTATATATCAGATGCAACTGGTATCAGGATCGGAAACTACAATTAAAACCTTGAAGTGGGCAATGTCAAATCTCATAAACAACCCACAAAACACTGCAAAAGCAAGGACGGAAATTGATCTAATCGTAGGCAACAGAAGACTCATTGACGAATCCGACATACCAAAATTGAGCTACATACGTTGGATAATGTATGAGACTCTAAGACTTACACCACCTGCACCACTTTTATTCCCACATTGCTCATCCAAAGACTGCACAATTGGAGGGTTCCAGGTAAAAAAAAGGCATTATGCTTTATATCAATGCTTGGGCAATACAAAGGGACCCTAGCCTATGGGACGAGTCAAATGTGTTTAAGACGGAGAGATTTGCCTATGAGATCGAAGGGTACAACTACAAGTTTTTACCCTTTGGAATTGGGAGAAGGTCTTGCCCTGCGAACGCCTTTGCTACTAGGAACATCACTTTGGCTACTCTTATCCAATGTTTTGATTGGGGAGCACCTAAGGATGGATTAGTAGACTTGACTCTGAAAAATGGTACTAATATTGGTCCTAAGGAAAAGCCTTTAGAGGCAATTTGCCACCTTAGATCTTCAATAGCGGATATCGTTGCTCAACTCAAAGTCAATTAACTATGTTGTTAGCTAGTAAAATTAAGGAAGTGATTTTCAAATTTGGATGTATAACCCATTTGTGTTTCTTGTGTACCCTTAATAAATAGCGAGCTAAGACTTTTATTCAACTTACCTTATTACTTTGTATTACTTATTTTTATGTTATTAATCAAGTAAAAATTTGATTTGGTCAAACCACTAAAAACTACTTAAAAGATAGTGCTGAACACGCCCATATTTTTAGACAAATTTAGGGCATGTTTACCTAAAAAATTCAGTAAGTAATGGTATATTTTGGAAATACTTGCAATAGATTAAAAATTGATTTGGATATCTTTGTCATTTTAGATCACAAAAAATTAGCCAAAACCTAAATATATCCATATCTTCTTCTCTTCCTTATTAAAAGTTTAATCAAACACTTATAAATAGGGTTATGCCAACTATATCCCTAAAAATGTCTATTTACATTTCCCCATTTATGCATGCGAATAACATGAGTGACATTTTTTTTTTTTTTTACCTTTTGTCTTTACCAGCGTAGCTTTTTGGCCTTTTTTTTTCTCTTTTTTTTCCTATATATATATTAAAAAGTTTGAAATGACTCTTATAAATAGTGTTTGGACAATTATTCCCTTTAAAATGTTTATCTATTTATTTTCCCTTGTTAATGTTAGTTGACTTTCTATTGAACTTTTAAAAATAGTGTGCGAACATTTATACTCTCAAAATTTTTTGTTTACATATTTTCCCTCATTAATATTACCAACAACTAAAGTTGGAACATAAAACTAAACTGAAAGAGATTCCTTGACATGAATAGCTATGTGCGCACGTCATGCGCGTTAGCCACCATAGTCTTCTTCTTATTTTATCTTCTAAAAAAGTATAAGATTACTCTAGTCTTATGAATAGTGTGCTGCCAATTATATCATTTAAAATGTGCATTTACATGTTTATCCTCATTAATATGTACTATGTACAAGTTTTTATTTTGCTTTCAATAATTTTAATTGTTTTTTTTTTTTGTCTTCATTAATGTTAATTACCATTTTGAACTATTAAAATAGTGTGCGGACATTTATACCCCTAAAATATTTGTTTACATGTTTTCCTTTATTAATATAACCAACAAGTGAAAAAACTCCCCGAACATTACTAATTATAATGCACATCGCGCACGTTAGCCACCCTAGTTTCATAGAAAGTTAGAAATTAAGAAATGAATTAACATTTGAATTTTGTTAGAACTCACAAAGAACAATATGTATCTTGGGTAATTTCCCACTTGAAATATTGAAGTAAAAAGTTATTCTTGTACATAAACGTGAAGAAATCTAGCATTTCCTGTGGATGTATTGAAATATACGAAGTAACATAATAGCAATTTGCTAGGGCATTAAGCTAAATCCATACCCAAGAAACAAAGAAAAAAGAAATAATATAAATAAAATAAATTTTTTTTTTAAAAAAAAAAAAACACCTAACCCATCTACACACTATTTTCACATAGTATACCACACAACAAAGGTCCGCCCAATGACACCTAAATATAGAACTTCCTATTGTTGAAGAAATGCCATCTATCAAACACTATTCTCACATTATATCCACAACAAAGATTCGCGCAATGACATCGAAATATTAACCTCCAATTTGTTGCAGTCGATCGACATGCCCCACTCCCAATAGCCTCCTCAGCTTACCAAAGAATTCTCGGCAATGCATAGTCTTCCCCAGGAGTTCTATTCGCCATGTCCAGGAAGTGTTAACCAGAATCTTCAGGGGTTGTATCACTGTAGCACTAAAAAATCAACAAAACTTGAACTTGGCCTTGAATTAGCTGACAAGTACCTTCTTCCAGTTACGTATTATAGAAACAGTCAGAAACTTTGAGGTGGTCAGCAAGCCGATGAATATATGATTCAACGGCTTCTGCATCAGGTGATAAAAAACCAGGAAGATGAGGCAGGCAATCAGGCATGTATGAATCCCTTGTGTTAAGGGGGTGGAGTAGATATAGCACAGCACGGCAGAATATAAATCTGGATAGCATTTAAAATGGACAAAATCAGTGTAAGTTCCATAAGTTCCCCTCTGTGGAAATAAAATAGTTGTGGTCAAGCAATCTAGTGCTACAGCATACTTAACTCAATGGGAAGGGTGTTTTGCAAGAAGATAGTACTTAGTTTAGTCACTCCCCTTCCCAATAACCTTTCTATTACGTGTTTTGGTAAGTCCCAAAAAGATATCCATGTAACTTAAAATGGAAAGAAACACCCTTTTCCTGTATAGTTTTTGGGCACGTTCCCTGACTTTTCTCAGACTCTCCACTTTTAGTTAAATTAGTAACCCTATATAGTTTTCTTCATCTCCATGCCAAAAAATTACATATTGATTACTCAGGAAAAAACGTAGTTTATTTCGTTATCCAATTTTACTTGTACCTGGAAGTCCAAGACGGGACATTTTTTTTTGTTTTTCTTAGTAAGGTGCGGAGTGACATCAACTAAAATAGAATGGAACTTACAAGGAAATCAAAATAGAGTTTTTTTTTTCTCTCTCTGCAGGACCAGAGTTATCGGTTCAATGTACATTTTCAGCAGACTAAATAGGTAGTTAAGTTGAAACTAGCTCAGCCACTACACCTTTAACATGTCAAGGCTCAACTCTTGAGCCCACCCATTTTTTTTTTTCTTCTCTTGATCTAATTGACAAGTCTACTTGGCAATATAGGCTGCATAAATTTCAGATAATAAAGGAGGAAAATAATATACCTAAGAATAATGCGACGAAGGAAAGGGTCTGGAAGTACTTGAGCCCAAACGAGATCAATTTTTGTTGATGAGCATAACATCACTTCCCATTTAGCAAAGGCATTTGCAATTATGTTTTCAGCCTCACCATAAATGTCCTGCAGAAATACTCGTTATTACTATGAAATAAAAAAATATGCTAGATTTGAGTTCATCATTTAAAAAATGAAAGTTCAAACTTCAAAGTATATGTTGAGAGCTCACTGTATCTCTATCAGGTGCAGAAAGGCCAACCAATTGGCAAAATGCTAGTAGAGGAGTTGTCAAAAACAGAGTAAACTGGCTCCCATTTTCAATTGCATCAACACTAGGAGGGTTCTTGAATGATGGCCTTGAGGGGGAAAGCAACAACGCTGATGGCTCCCCTCTTTCTGAACCATGAATGACCTGCAGATCATATAAACAAAGCATGAGCACCTCAAAAGAAACAACACATGTTTATCAATGTATGGTAGATAGTTGGGGAAGAAAAGAACAGCAAAATAAAATTCTTTTGCGTCTCAGAATAAAGGATCATCTGAAGAGCAACAATATATGAGAAAAAGCATCAGTATGCACGAGATATGCATAGAATTTTTCAAGATTTAAGATTGTGCATCCTTAATTTGTTGATTCTTTACTCCATATTGCCAGTTTGTTCTGTCCATTATGCAACCAGTATGTTCAAGAAGAAAAACAATCACATGCAATAGAGATATTTTAATAAGTGAAGATAGTTTATCTGGCCAGGACAAGTTTTGACAAACCTGCCTTGAATGCATGGCTGTTATCACTATCAATAACTAAGAAGAGAGGCCTCCTAGTGAAGGGTAATAAATCTCCGGGATAGAGGTTATTAGAACCTGAAAAGGCAAGAGTATTCTCATAAGTTATTGTTGAATTTAACACATAAAATTAGCCAAACATCATAAAAATAAAGAAATGACAGCTTTCTGCATTGTGCACACCTCCAATTCCACGTGGACTTAAACACAGGGAATTATCATAATAATTACTCAAGTATCCTTTTTTATTATCTCCAGGAGACAGGGTTTGATCATGGGCAGCTGAAAGCAAAACTTTACTCTTTGAAAATCTTCTAGAGCCGCCAGAGCTTTCAGCACTAACGGAACTAGCTGCTCCTGCAAAAATATAGGGCAACCACAACATTAAGAAGCTGACACAGCAAATGCATAAAAAATTATGTTCAAAAGAGGCCAATTTACCCAAAGATGATGACACATATATTAGTATAATACTGTCGGGTGGGAGCTCCTCACACATTGTTGCTATGACCTGCCAGAGAAGCATACCATCAACAGAATTCTTAACAAAAGATTTTATATGTCAAAAATAAAAAGGTTTATCATCATTATTAGGGGAAAAAAATGGCATTGCTTATTCCCAAATCAATATACTTGTATAGTACAGATATCAGGAGAAGGTAAACAGGATATTCCAGCAGTATCAAGCAAGGCCATGTCAAAGGCAAGGTTCTCATGCCTCCTGTGGTTCTAAGCTCTGGATTTTTTAACATGACTTGTCCAAGCAACAAACACCCAGGACCTCAGAAATGCAAAATCTAAGACAGGAAAATCTTGGCTACTTACAGAAATAAATTGTGTCACTGTTGGGCGATACAAAACTGCTTTCCTTGGATTTGGGGGCAAGGTTGGATCAGTCAGATCAGCTGCCAAATTTATGTCAATTAACCCAGAAGTACCAGAAAAGTCCTTGTGGACACCATTTTCAATGGGTTCAGTTTGATGCTTTTGGTAAAATGATCCACTTGGCTCCCATTCCAAACATTGCAGCATTCTGTATGTGTCCAATGTCACTTCAGCAAACTTAACCTGAAACATATACAGCCCCAAGTTAGATACTGCTGAATTTAGAGCTCCGCATAGAGTTCAGCAGACTCCATTAGAGATAATATTAGGAATATATAGGAGAATAATATATCTTAGTGATGCGCAGAAGTATGACATTCACCTCATTCCGGTGATAGCTGGTTAACACTACATCTTTCAATTTTAAAACTTTCTTTGCATGAAAACGAGCTACATACGGCAACGAGTCTGGATGAGTGTCAAACATGGCACAATAACGCAATGGCCGAGCATTTGGCAATGGCTTGTCAACATTTACAAAGCGGACAATCTCTTGAACCACTTGCTTCCATTCTTTGAAGTTAGTTTCCTGAGAGCACAAAGTAAAAAGAATAAAGAATATAATAAACCCTCACCGGAGCTAAATTTGCACCAACAGGACAGAAACTGCCAGACGGGCAATGATTCATCCCCACAAACCCCACAAAGGAAATTAAAACCTGGATGAAATGATCATTACTTGTCCCGATAGATGCCTAAAGGCTAAAGGTCCATGGTAGATATTTGACAACCAACCTAATCTCTAATGAGTAATCATATTGGAAAGCCATTTTCTAGAATTAAATCTCTTTGCATTGACAGGTGTAACACAGCTAAGGATTCACTCCTCCCTGCCTCCCCATCCCACTCTGTCTCTCTCTCTCTCTCTCTCTCTCTGATGCAAAGGGTGATACGATTCATACAAGTCAACACGCTCTTAATCCTGTGTGGCGAAGAATGTCAACAAATGATTTCAACCCCATATCACCATTTTATTGTTAATTGTTAGTAAATTTCCCAAAGGACGATGATGCAGTGATGTAGAAGTCTATTAACTTGAATTCGCGTTCTCGGTACTATCCTCAAGAGACTAGAAAACCTTAAAGCTCATATCTGCTATGAACTCCTAATTCTCATAGCCTATTACAAGCAACCCCAGACCAAGCCTAATAACATCACCTCCCTAATCAGCCCGAAAAACGCCAATCGATTACGAGCAATCCACAACACCAAAAACACATTGCAAAAACAAAATCCATACTCTAAAAAAGCTAATTGCAACACAATCAACCTACCATATTCAATATTTCAATCACATATCATTAAATTTCATAATCAAATACAGTAATCATTACTAAACCCATCAAATTAACAATCATAACTTGGAATTAAAAAGAAGAAATTGGATAGAAAAATACCCGAAAAGTAGCTCGGCTATCATCAACAAGAACCTTAAACCGGTCAACGAGCAAATCAACAACATCACGACGATTCAAAATCAAAGCAACCAACAAAAATCGAGCATAAAACCTTAATTCCTTAAACCTAACACTAACCCCACCAAATTCTTTACCACCTTGAAAATACCCACGATTAAAAATTGCCTCGTAAAAAACATACGATTCTAGAAGAAACCTAGCTTCACTACTTCTCATGTACTGCCCAAAATACAACTGCCCGATCCGAGACGCGATCTCTCCGATTTCCCACCTTTGTAGGCCCGAACCCACCAACTTGGCCCGGTTCTCTCGCTGAAACTTCCACACCTTCATATACGCCTTGAACACCTTGTTCAGGTATCGAGCCGGGTTGGGCCCAGGCCCAAAATCAGGAAGGTCTCGAACCCGCGAAAACTTCCGGTCAGCCTTCTCGACTAAGGCCCGAAACTCTTGGGCCGGTTCTTGGGTTCGGGCCGTTTCGAGTCCGCCGTTTCGAAGCGCCATTGATGTCTGGCGCGTGGCATTAGGGGGTGAGAGAGATGGGTTCTGAGATTGCCGCCATTTTTGTTGAGGAGAGAGAAAATAAGAGGAATTTTGGGTTGTTTTTTTGTAAAGATGTATGAGTTTTGTTGTTTTTGGGTTGTTGCAGTTGAGAAGTTGGAGAAGAAAGGAGGTGAGCTGATGATGTAGGTGAAGTTTCCCGGGAGTTGAAAAAGGAGTCGAAGAAAAGGAGCACTCATTTGTTGTGCCTGACTATTTTAACTAGATTTTGTTATAAAATAAAAAAAATAATTAATTGAAGTACTTCATCATTATGAAAAGTATAAAATTAGATAATCATTCTAACTATGTACTATTTCAACTAATTTTATTGTGTATATATACTTTAATTTGTAATACTTAATGTTTAATGTATTGTATTGCGTGTATGAAATACTCGATTATATTGTGAATGATGTCGTTACAGTATAGTACATTTAACATGTGAACTCAACTAATAAAGGGTGTGCATGAACTCGATTGTGCACGAGATACATATATGACACGCATTTGACGTGTTGGTGATCTCGATGAGGAGATTCGTGCATCAAATCAATATGTGGACGCCAATTGTTTATATTGATTAAGTTTTGGTGGTTTTGATGTTATTTAAGACTTGATATCAAATTTTGTTGTGATAATATATCTATATAACCTTGTATACACCAAAGTATATGTTGAAAAATTCCTTTGTAAACTTACTTAGAGAGTTAGAGTATGTTATCCATTTTGTTGAGTGGACCCAACAAGAATTGTATAAGTATTTTATTTTTTTTAATACCATGTTTTTACTATGCATTCTTATAAAGTCCACTTTACAAAGTCATGCATGAATTGATTAGAAGTATTGAGGTAAAGGCTAAAGCAAGTAATCATGGGACTATGGGAGGTAGGAGAAGGGAGAAAGTCAGCAGACATGAGTTTTAGACTTTAGAGATTTCATTGGATGCTTGATCGTGGCCTCGTGGGGAAGCTTAGAATCCTGCAAATAATGAACATAATCAAGCACTTTTCGTGGCATTTACCAAATTATGGCCGACTTTAGGGACAACTCTATTGCCTTATTTGCCTACTTAAAGTATAGCAGGATTAGCAGCTCGGCCCTTCTACACACTAATTATTTGTTTTTATCCGGACTACAACTACTTATTATTTAAAATACGACGACTACAGAATTATATATACTTTATCATTTTCTTAATACATGTAATATTTTGACTTTTAAAATATTTTGTAATTCATTATAACAATTTCAGACAATCCTAACAAACTCAAATAAAGGAATTGAAGTTCATGTGAAATGTATAAAGTTCTCTCAATAAAAACTTTCTACATTATACGATGTCTTGTGGATGAAGTATGTTTTATTGTGTCAAGATTTCGATAAACCCCTACGCTAAATTTATGTTTTGTTATTCAAATTGATAGTTATTGTAACATCATCTAATTCAAGTCTCATATCATTATTGTCTTTATTTATTCATATCTTAATTGCAAAATATTAAAATTAAAAAAATAAAATTAAAGAATCAAAATTAATTCCATTCAACGTAACAGTGACTTAGTAATTAATTAAGAGTAATTAAACATAGAATAAGCGCTGTAAATCACATGGACCTGATTTAGGCTAGCGTGATTGAGCTGTCGTCATAACTCATCATCATATCCACCACTCTGCAAATACAGCAAAAATGCAACAAAACAAATGAATAATAAAAAATTACAAAATAACTCGAAAAACAAGAAGAAAACAAATAAATACTGTAAAATAATACTGTAGAGAACAATGAATATACTACTAATTCTAGGAATAAAGGTAACGAATTGGCACTGCATCAACTGCATGTTTATGGCTGTTTTACTTAAGGTTGGTTTAATTAATTTATAAGTTAATTCTTAATTAATTTGTAGTGTACTTTCTTTTATAAAGTAATATAGCCTTTTTAAAAAAAGATGAAATAAAAAATATCGTGCAATTAAATTGGTTGGTCCATATAATATTAATGAGGCTGGTTAGTCATCTGTCATAGTACGAAGGATATGGCAGGTGATATGAAGCCAACTAAATCGGACTATTTGAGAAATGAAGACCGTGCATGCAACTTATTTATTACTCCGTATAAGCTGTAAGCCTGTAACAAATTATATTTGGACCACCATATATATTTGTACGAGTATCAGTGTATGTCTAGCTAATTTTACTTATTTAAATGCCTGTTCGTCCGAAAATAATACACTGTAGCATATGTTATTGTCCCAATTTCTTACTATTTTGGAGTATTATTACGAATAATTTTAAATGAATACTCAAGTACTCCGTATTGTTTTAGAGAGTAGCAATCAAAACATGTTAAGACATGCTATTAATACTTCAAGCAATCCCTTCTTGGATGTTGTTTTGAGGATGAATTGGAGGAGCTTTTGTTTATGGCTGGTAAGTACATGAGTCCGATTGGAATGAAGTATGCACTATCAATATAAATTAACTACCTTTAAAGTGGTTCGAGTTAACCCTATTATGATGATAAAGTTAGTCATCTGAGTACAAGTCGGAAGGAAAAGATAGGTGCACACAATAAGTGTCTTTTGCAATTAGATAATTTTATATAGTATGTTTTTTTAATTGTAGAGGATGAAGTATTTACAGATTACAAGGGTTTAAAAGACAAATACATCACAGAAGCATGAGCCTAGCCCGATCCTTGTCTAGGGATCAAGCTGCTGGCCACGTAGATCCCTAAGACTAGGGCCGATATAGAAACGTGTAGCCCATTAATTATTACTTGGGCTATAATAGATGGTACGATGAGTAGATGTTGCTTGTCGTTGTGATATCTAGTACAAGTTAGCCTCCAAAAATGAGTACGGTCAAAGGCGTGACTATTGACTACTTTAAGTTTGTTCCATTCATTTGCTATAAAACTTAATAATCACCCAACCATCCAAATTAATTCTATTAACTATGAAAAATCAAATTTAATATAATATGGCTATTGGCCAACAATGTACAGTACATTTTGCTCGTGGCATACTCCTGTCCTGTCCAACAAATTACAAGGGTTTAGAATGATCATGGTGGATAAAATTGACTTTCATTTAGGGAAGAGGATAAGTGTTTCTGGCCCAACAATTACCGAATGCAACACCGTATCCCACTCAACTTTGTCATGTAGTTTTGTGTTGACACTATTTTTTCGATGTGAACAATCAAGAAGTACATGTATTTGATCTAGTGGTGAGATTAATATTCACAACATTAAGATTGTAGGATTAAATTTCTCTAGGAGCATTTTAGAGAGCGAATTACCTTTCCCCCATTTTAAGCTAGGCTAATTCTCCTCGTGTATTACCTCCTTCTTCCAATATTTAAAGCTTGAAATATAGAGTCAAAACTTTTATTATAGATTCTTACCAATATATTAAAAAAAACATAATATTAAAATTTGCAATCTATTTTTTTCAATTTGATGAAATTTATAAAGCTTTTCTAATACTTGCATATAAAAAATTACTAATATAATCATATATAGTCATGTGAAGTCTTATTTATTACTCATTATGTCTTAATAATTGTGTATATTAAATAACATTTTTTTCGTTTTTTTATAAACTTTACTAATAGTCATAGTATTATAGGGTGCGTACTATTCACCTGATTTTCGCTTACTTGAATTTATCTAAACTTATTATACCTTATTAAAACTTATTTTAGTTGTAATTTTAACTTGGGTAACTTAACTGAACTTATTAGACCTAAAATAAGTGAAAACAAGGCGAACAAAATAGAACCTTAGTAAAATATATTATTATTGATAATTACGTTGATAAACATGTAAAATCAAACCAAATACTTCAATAAGTAACAAAGCAGTTAGTACTTAGTAGTAGCTTGGTTACTTGTTTAGTGTTTTTTTAACTCTAATTCTACCTCGATTACATAACAATTGACATTATCAAATTTGACACACTTGTTAATGCACTAGTTTGACCCTAAACACAAAATAAAACTTTATCTAAATATATATATTCAATACACAAACTCTTAATTAAGGTAGATTTTCATTAAGTTATTGTAAATAAGACAGGTTAAAGTTACCCTAAAAGTATTTAAAGTTACCATTTTTCAAACATAAATTTTACTCTTTAAAAACACTTATAATTTATTAGATTAATCATACCACCCTTCATAACATGTACATATTAGAAATTACATATTAAAATATAATCAAATTCATTACAAAGTAATTAAAAGCTACCCTTAAAGTGATTAAAGTTACCATAAAAATTATTAAAGTTACCCGGCCTTAAATTGACCGTATTACAATACAATTAACGTAAGTCCGTCTTATACAAGACTTATTAATTCAATAATATTTTACATGATAACGTTCATTTATATTATGTTATTAGTAAAAAAAATATATATAGTCAAAGTTATTATATGAATAGAGAAAAAAGTTATATGATGTATCATGTCAATTATTTTTACACGAAGGGTGCACTTCGTCATTCCCTTTCATAATGTTGCGTTTCACAAAACGGAGGGAGATTTTGATAAAAGTTAGACTTTGGAGTAACAAAAAAGTTAGGTGGATCCGTGAATGTCATGAAATTGTCAGCATTCGTTACAATTGCGAATAAGCACCAGCATGGCAGCATATACCGGGGCGGTCTGCCGAGCTGCCCTATAATAATACGTAGAGTAAGGAGTTAGCTAGGACTATAACTAAGCACACAAATAAATACTCTACTGTACGTGATCGAATACTGCTAATTCCGGCAACAATGATCTAATTTTCAATTGGAAGTCCTTTTCTTGCCTTTTTGTGGGTCATAACTCATAAGGTGGGGGTGCCTTTGCTTCTTATTTTCTTGTATTATTGAGGGCTTTTGTCCAAATTCGAGAATGCAAGCACTATAGCACCAATGCACCATCTTGATCAAAATAATTGACATGGGACCAAGGGAGAGAAGATAGTCATTATTGTATTGCTCGATTTAAGGTGGTTTCAAGGCTACAAAGTTTAGAAGGAAGAAAGGAATTAGACTTAGGATAATGAGCGACCACTAATGAAAGGCTACAAAAATTCTAATTCGTATAATAATGAAGATATAATAACAAAATAAAATACAAATTAAAATATCTCAAGGAAACTAGCCAAAAGATCGAAGAAATAAAGGCTGATGAACGATCATCATAGGCTTGAAGCATATTAAAGCGGCGATCAGGTCCAACAATTTGGTTCGGATAAGAAATCAAACGATGGAGT